TGAGGGGTGAGGGGCAGAGATGAGGGGTGAGGGGGCAGGGATGAGGAGTGAAGAGCAGAGATGAGGAGTGAAGGAGCAGGGATGAGGGTGAGGGGCAGAGATGAGGGGCAGGGATGAGGGGTGAAGGGGCAGGGATGAGGGGTGAAGGGCAGAGACGAGGGGTGAAGAGGCAGGGATGAGGAGTGAAGGGCAGAGATGAAGAGTGAAGGAGCAGGGATGAGGGGTGAGGGGCAGAGATGAGGGGCAGGGATGAGGGGTGAAGGGGCAGGGATGAGGGGTGAAGGGCAGAGACGAGGGGTGAAGGGGCAGGGATGAGGAGTGAAGGGCAGAGATGAAGAGTGAAGGAGCAGGGATGAGGGGTGAGGGGCAGAGATGAGGGGCAGGGATGAGGGGTGAAGGGGCAGGGATGAGGGGTGAAGGGCAGAGACGAGGGGTGAAGGGGCAGGGATGAGGAGTGAAGGGCAGAGATGAAGAATGAAGGAGCAGGGATGAGGGGTGAGGGGCAGAGATGAGGGGCAGGGATGAGGGGTGAAGGGGCAGGGATGAGGGGTGAAGGGCAGAGACGAGGGGTGAAGGGGCAGGGATGAGGAGTGAAGGGCAGAGATGAAGAGTGAAGGAGCAGGGATGAGGGGTGAGGGGCAGAGATGAGGGGCAGGGATGAGGGGTGAAGGGGCAGGGATGAGGGGTGAAGGGCAGAGACGAGGGGTGAAGGGGCAGGGATGAGGAGTGAAGGGCAGAGATGAAGAGTGAAGGAGCAGGGATGAGGGGTGAGGGGCAGAGATGAGGGGCAGGGATGAGGGGTGAAGGGGCAGGGATGAGGGGTGAAGGGCAGAGACGAGGGGTGAAGGGGCAGGGATGAGGAGTGAAGGGCAGAGATGAAGAGTGAAGGAGCAGGGATGAGGGGTGAGGGGCAGAGATGAGGGGCAGGGATGAGGGGTGAAGGGGCAGAGATGAGGGGTGAAGGGCAGAGACGATGGGTGAAGGGGCAGGGATGAGGAGTGAAGGGCAGAGATGAAGAATGAAGGAGCAGGGATGAGGGGTGAGGGGCAGAGATGAGGAGCAGGGATGAGGGGTGAAGGGGCAGGGATGAGGGGTGAAGGGCAGAGATGAGGATTGAAGGAGCAGGGATGAGGGGTGAAGGGGCAGAGATGAGGGATGAAGGGGCAGGGATGAGGGATAAGAGGCAGAGATGAGGGATGAGGGGGCAGGGATGAGGGATAAGAGGCAGAGATGAGGAGTGAGGGGGCAGGGATGAGGGATAAGAGGCAGAGATGAGGAGTGAGGGAGTAGGGATGAGTGGCAGAGATGAGGCGTGAGGGGCAAAAATGAGGGATGAGGGCAGAGATGAGAGATGAAGGGGCAGGGATGAGGGGTGAAGGGCAGAAATTGGTTGAGAGTAGAGCTGGGGGATCTGGATAACGGAACAACTGCCAGCCCTGGGGTCCCCGGCCTGCAGGGAGAACCACTGTCCCCCCCCGCACCCCCGCCCGAGGGCCTCTCCTACCCCGTGCTCTGCGGGAGAGGCCAGGAGCCCCGAGTGTCCACCCCACAGCTTCACTTTTGGGTCGCAGACGCACGCCTGCTTCCAGTCCTGCCCACGGAGCCCGGGGCTGCTGGGCTCACAGGGCCTCATGGAAGAACGCCATACGGCAGCCCAGGCACACCGCCGGGTGGGTAGGAAGAGGAGGCTGGAGTCCACTGGGCAGGGCCACAGATGCTAGTGGGGAGGGGTTGGTGGGCTCTGTTACAGCCGAGCAGCCCCGAGGGAGCCCTGGGCAGGGCAGCCCGAGAAGACCCTGGCAGCGAGAAGAGACCGCGGCGGCTGGCAGCGCCTCGGCTGGGCATCCCGCCACCCCTTCAGTGCCAGGCCGAACTTTGGCCAGCTGGGCTGAGTCGGGCTACAGAATCAGAGGGGCGCTGCGGTGGGGAGACCCTCGTCACCACTGCCCGCCCGCGTGGGAGGCGCAGAACCTGAACTGGGGTGGTTTGTCTTCCTCCCGACACAGCCTCCGCTCAGCCTGGCGCTCCCCGGCCATGCCAGCCTGCCCACAGCCTACACCCCTCCCTTCACCTTTGCTCTTCTTTGTTTGGGGTCTCACGCTCAGGCACTACCCCTGCTCGGGGCTCAGGGGCCCCTCTGAAGGGTGCCTGGGGGAGCACGCCGCGGGCAAAACCAGCAAAGCCCACTCAGCCCTTGAACTCCCTCCGCAGTGCTCCCTGGGCCTTTAGGAGAGAAGTCCTGCTCCAGAGCTCGCCCTGCACCCGCAGCTGCTCTCCTCTGCTTGCCCGCAGCCCTGCGGGGTATTCCATTTCTAGGCATCCTCTCTCTCCTGTCTCACTGGCACCGCTTCTCTCTATCCGTCAAAGCTCAGCTCCAACAATGCCAATCCCGGCAGCCTTCCTGGGCGCCCCGTCATCATCTGGCCCAGAGGCCTCTCTTCCTCTGTCTCCCTCAGACCCTGTCCTCTCTCCGGTGGGACCACCCCAGAGCATGCGCCTGCATGCTCGGGGAGGCAGACAGCGAGGAAACACTGCCTTTATTCTCTTTATTCTCTCCCCTGCTGCCGCTGTCAGTGGCCAGGCTGCAGTGGTTAGAGACTGCCCTGCAGTGCCCCTTGAGGGTTTGCTTCCACATGGGCTCACAGGGGAGACCTCCTAGTTTGAGCCCCTGAGCCAGGGTCACTGCCATGCTCATACAGTCACCTGAGTCCCACTTCCTGGCCATGGTGCTCACATTTCTTTTCACCGCTGTGCCCAGGGTGGGGGGACTGGAGGGTGTCACACAGCCCTGGCTACCATGTAGTCAGGAATGACGGTGCTGGGGAATCACAGAGAGCAGAGCTGCCAGGCTCAAATGACAGAGCCGCCTGGACAGCACTTTGCACAAGTGGGGCACCAGGGATTTGAACTCACGACCACATGCTTACAAGGCAGGGTCTCAAATCCACAGTGCTATTTCTCCAGGTCAGACCGACTTTCTGTCATTCACAGAGAATACCTGCCCTGCAGAGCCGGAAGGTCAGGTGAGGCCCCTTCGCTGTCACGTGTATTCCCACAGCCCAGCCCAGCTGGTGGTCAAGCCAAGGGGGACGCTGGCACCTTCTCTCATCCCTATATGTCAGGGCCTGCTCTGCAAGTCCACGGCCAGGTCCTGTGGGTCTCTGGCTTGGACCCCTCCGAGTGACCTTCAGGAGAGGAAGTTGGGCCATGCCTGGCTGCTGTGCTCAGCGGTCACTCTTGGAGTGGCTCATGGAACCCAGGTCAGCCGTGTGCAAGGCAAGTGTCCTACCTGCTTCCTGAAGCAATTCTTTTTTCGTGGTTTTTGTTTTGTTTGGGGACCACACTGGCAGCGCTTGGGCCTTACTCCTGGCTCTGCACACAGGGATCAATCCTGGTAGGACCCAGAAGACCACTTGGAGTGCTGGCGATTGACCCTGTACTGACCACGCCCAGGACAAGGGTCCCACCTGCTGGACTTTCACTCCTACTCTGGAGCAATTTGTATTTTTTTTTTAATATAAATGCTGTGTCTTTAATAATTTTTGATCACTGTCCTCCCGTTGTTCATCGATTTGCTCAAGCGGGCCCAGTAACGTCTCCACTGGAGACTTTGTTGTTACTGTGTTTGGCATATCGAATACGTCACGGGGAGCTTGCCAGGCTCTGCCATGCGGGCGAGATACTCTCGGTAGCTTGCCGGGCTCTCCGAGAGAGACCGAGGAATCGAACTTGGGTCGGCCATGTTGGCTGCGTGCAAGGCAAACGCCTTACCGCTGTGCTATCGCTCTCCTGCGTCTCTCTCCCAATAATTTTTGATATTTTATTAAATATTTTTATGTTTAAATAATGCTGTGTTTTATTGTCCTCTGTTGCAGGGACCTTGTGGACACTAGTGGTGGGATTGGTATTGCAACATTGTGTGCCTGAAACAATTCTATTATGAAATAGCTTTGTGAATCTCAGTGTTTAAATTTTTTAAAAAGTGGGGGGAAATAAAGACTATAGTATTGGATCGTAACTCACAGAATCAGTAAATATGCACATATATATAAGCTTATTGTTGATTTTAGTAGTTAGATCTTGTGAATAAACAAACCGAGGCTGAGGAAAATTAGTAAGCTGCTGTTTTCAGGGGACAGGGTAAGTACCTACCCACTAAGTACCCAGGCTGGCCTATGGTCTACCCAGGTTCAACCCCTGTCACCTCATAGAGTTTCCTGAACCCAACCCGCCCCCTCCCCATTCAAATAAATAAATGAATAAATAACACTTGTTTTTAACAGTGCCCAGTGCTGCTGGGGTGGGGCCTCCCAGGGCCACCCATGTGAGCTTCCTCCTAAGTTGCAACCTGACAATGAGATGCTGGAGCCTGGCGGTGCCCAGAGGCCACCATCTCTGTACCTGATGGTGCGGGGGTCTGTGCAGTGACAGTGTTCTAACCCTGGGCTTGGCACCAGCTAGGCCTGCTGCTCTACCATTTGCACTATCTCTCTGGTCTCTCATTTTATCAATCATCTACTAATCATCGATCTATGGTCTATCTATCACCCATCTCTTATCTATTTATCTATCTAGTTGTGTCAGAGACCCAACCCAAGGCCTTGCATCTTCAAAGCAGTGTTGTGTTGTGTTGTGCTGTGTTGCGTTGCATTGCATTGCGTTGTGCTGGTTGAGGCCATGCTGAGCCAAGGCTCGAGGGCCGCCCGGGCAAGATCCAGGCATGCTATTTGACCATGTGATCACACCTGGGTCAGCCATGCACTAACTTAATCCTGGCCTATCTATCTCCCTGGCTCCCAGGAGTGGGATCTTAACTTGAGGATCCAGTTCTCCCATCTTCATTTAATCTGCTTCTGGAGTAAAGGAATGACACTGACGCCTCCATGGGTCAGTCCCAGGCCTTAGTGGGTTGGGCCTGGAAGATTCTATTGCTCTGCATTTCTGGTGAATCTGTTCCAGATGTGATGCTGAGGCTGTGGGCCACAGAAGCAGAGACACTCTGGGCTCACTCTGCCTATTTTAATTAGTATTGGGAGGGGGCGTCGCACCCGCCACAGTCCAGGCCCCACAGGTGGCCACAGGATGACATAGAGGTCTGGGGGGGATTGGCACAGTCTTCAGAGGAAACTACAGCTCCACACACCAGCAGGAGATCTCTGCTCCCGGGGGCCCCTCCTGGTAATCCAACTTTTGCTCCCTGGGATGGAGAGAAAGATGGGTGGTCAGCAAGTCTCAGGAGGAGAGAATTTGACAGACACGGGGGGCACCCAGAACCCCCCAAACAGGCTGACCAGAGGCAGAGCCCTGGGGACCCCACTGTGTGTGGAACCCAGGTCCCGGGGCAGAAGAGTTTGGGGTGTGGAGGAGTTTCCTCTGGTCTCTGGCTGTTTCTATCTCCAGATAAGAACTGGGGAGGGGGGTGTCCCAGCCCCCACCCTCGGGTTTAGTGCCTGCCGGCACTGTCACCTGTGGGCAGAGAGTTCCTGTCCCTGTACGGTCAGTGTGCGCTTGCTGTCATCTGCCTCTTCTGGGGGGCCCCAGACCACATTCTGGTAAAACTGACCTGGGAGAGAAAGGGAGGGTCTCGAGGGAGAAGGACAGAGAGGGGAGACACCACGGCGGTCTGAGGGCTGTCAGCTGCGTACCAAGGGTCCCACCGACATGGCTGGAGAATCGGTCAGTGTCCCGCAGAAGGAGCCGCAGGCCCTTCCTGGGACCGTGCCACAGCCGCAGGCCCACGGTCACTCCATCCGGGATACTGAGCAGAAGGAGCCCCTCTTTGTCCATGGTCATATTCATGCTGTGGAGAACAGTAGAGCCCTGAGCAGGGGTGAAGGCAGAGGGGTCGCGGTGGGTGGGGCGGGGCTGGGCAGCAGGTCCTGTGTCCTGAGATGGGACCTATGCTCACTTAGTGACAGAGGGCCTTAGCACCGATGAAGGGAAGCAAATGTCCTGGCCCTCTCGGCCCTTAGACTTGGTTTCTCGTGAATCTGATAGGATTGTTGGGATTCTCTGGTTTGGGGGAAGCTCACTCAGGCAGCCAGGCCAGTGGTCCAGTATTGCCAGAGACCTCCAGGGACAGCTCTGAGGGGCCTTCAGGGTAGGGAAGCATCTGCTGTCAGTGTTCAGACTCGGTCCTGGCCGCTGAGCCATCTCTCTGGCCCTGACCGCCCCCCCCCCCCTTTTTTTTTTATTGAATCACTGTGAATAGTTACAAAACTTTCATGTTTAAGTTTCAGTCATACAATGATTGAACACGTGTCCCTCCACCATTTTCCACCACCAATGTCCCCAGTCCCCCCGCCTCTACTGTCTACTTATGGGTATTATGGTTTGCAATACAGATACTGAGAGGCCATCATATTTGGTCCTTTAACTACTTTCAGCACACACATCCCTCATCCCAAGCGATCCCTCCAACCATCATTGGCATAGTGATCCCTTCTCTATCCCAGCTGCCTTCCCTCCCCTTGCCCCTTTTGTTTTTATAAGTAATGCCACTCTCTCTTTCTTTTTGGGCCACACCTGGAAGTACTCTGGGATCATTCCTGGTGATCCTCAGGGAACCAATCAGTGCCAGGGATTGAACCCAGGCCTCCCTCATGCAAAGTTGAACCAATGTTAGTGCCACCTTCTTTTGATGATTAATGTTTATTTATTTATTTATTTATTTATTTTGGTTTGGGGGCTGCACCCGATGATGGTCAGGGGTTACTTCTGGCTCTGCACTCAAGAATTAGTCCTGGTAGGGCTCAGGGAGGCATATGGGGTGCTGGGAATCGAACCTAGGTTGACCACGTGCAAGACAAGTGCCCTGCCTGCTGTACCATCTTTCCAGCTGCTGATCCTTTGTGTTTAATCTTGTGTATTAATATCCAGAAGGACAAAAGCAAAACAAACAAACAGACAAAAAAAAAACCCCTTCTTCTTCTATCCTCTTTCCTTTATATTTAAAATAATCTTCCAAATTCCTGCGCTTCTGGTTGTTTTGGGAATGTTAGTTTTTTTTTTTTCCAGCACTTTAAGACCCTGCTGTTCCCTGAGCTCCTTTCAAGTGGAATTTCCCTGAAGCTACAATGTCCTCAATGCCTGTGAAAGCCATGCTCTGTCGCTCTTTGTGACTCTGCTCAAGAGTATAGGGACTATCAGCATGGTTAGTAGGAATTCTTTTATTTTACTTTTGGCTTTTGGGGCCATGCCCACCTGTGTTCAAGGCTTATGCAAGGCTCTGCACTCAGGAGTTATTCCTGGCAAGTGAGAGGACCATGTGTGGTGCCAGGGATTGAACCCAGGTGGGACACATGCAAGGCAAACACACTGCCAGCTGTACTATCTCTGGCCCCTATTAGGAACTCTTTACAAGAATTATTCCGTTTTCTGACTGGTAGGTCCAAGGGACTTAGATGTCATCAGTCTTTGGATATTTACCAAGCAATGAAGGCTTCCTATGAAACGGTAGTTTTCATGGGGGGGGGCCTCACTTGTCAAGGACCCAGGAGAGGATAGGCGGGTTCAGAGCCAGGACAAGTGGGGGAGGACATGGGCTGGGCCCTGCTCAAAGGGCAGCTGGTCCTTGCATTCTCCTCGGCCCTTGCCATGTCCAGAGCCTGAAGTCACCCCAGGAGACTCTAGAAGGAGCAGCTCCCAGGACAGATAGCGACTCCGCTGCCCACCAGCTGCCCAGGAATTGCTGTTATGTGGGTCCTGAGTCTCTCGCCAGAGTTCCAAGCATGTGCCCAGGACGCTCTCCAGAACCCGCGCCTGAAGGAGCTCCCAGTGCCACCTGGCATCCCTGTTCCCTCAGCATGGAGGCCAAGAGCCCGCACCTACCATCTCATGCTCCCCTGCATTCTCTCCCCCTGCCCCCCACTCAGCCCTGCAACCAGGGCGAGCCTATGGCTTGCCTGTCACCAGGGAGGAAACTGAGCTCAGAGGGGCTGAGCATCTGCTAGCGCTGCTCTGTGCCACAGCATAGGTGTGCGGGCGGCCACACTCCCAGGATTCTCCCCTCGGTGCTATCAGAGCAGAGGAGAGGGTATAGGGCCCTGTGCTTCTCCACCTCCTGTGGGTGCAGCTCGCGGCAGAGAACCCCTGCCCAGCCACTCCGCTCCTCAGGTCCAGTGTCCCTGCTCGGGGCTCACCCGGGCATCATGGAGAACAGTGTGTCCTTCCACTGGTAGGCCGAGCTCCTGCGATCCCGTGTCACCACCACTTGCTCGGGGGTCGCGTGAACCTGCAGCTGGAGGTTCTTGAAGGTCACCTTGATCCAGGAGAAGCGGCCCTTCTGCGCCTCATACTGGCCCGTCACCTGGAGCCCTGGGAAGAGTGGCCAGAGCCGGCTAGACGGGGGTGGCCTTCCCACATGGTCCCCCACTCCTTGGCTTCCTTGCATACCCTGGCCTGCTTCCTACCAACTTTTCTCTTATGTCCACATTTCCTTAGGCTTTGTTTTTGGTTTGGGTTGGGTTTTTTGTTTGTTTGTTTGTTTTTGGTGGGGGGGGGAGGGCAGAGCCGGCAGTGCTCGGGGCTTACTCCTGGCTCTGTGCTCAGGGATCACTCCTGGCGTGGCTGGTAGAATCATAGGTGGTGCCAGAGACCTATTGCACAAAGCAAGTCCCTAGCCCCGTACTATCTCTCTGGTCTAAAGAAAGTTCCCTGACCAGTAAACAAACCCACTAAGGCTTTGGAGGGGCCCCGGTTCTCATCAATAGCCTCTCTAAATGTGTGACCCTTCTAAAAGGGGATATCCCACCTCAAGTCCATCAGTGTTGAGAAAGCCCCGAGCTGGGAACCCCAGCTGAGAGTCCCCAGGCCCAGGGAGCAGATGCCGAGTCTAGCGCTGTCAAGTAGGAGACCCCTGAGCTGGGGGGACAAGGGAGTTTCAGGGGTGCAGGCCCTGGAAGCTCTGAGTGCTGGGTGAGTATTTGCTAGGCCTTTCAGGGCATCTGGGAGGTCTCGTCAGCACCCCTCCGTCTTCTCCCAGCCCCTCCCCCACGCTGACAAGCCTACCAGTGTTTCAGGGCTCTGATATGGTTTCCCCATGCACTCCGCCCCGTAATACCCTGCTTTACCCTTGTCTGTCAAGGCCCTGGCAGCCTCCTAGCCCTCACACTGCTCCTGTTTCCTCCCCTGGGCTTGGCTCTTGTGCTTCGCGGTCTGACCCCAGTGGTCACTACCCTCAGGCTTATCCGTCCCCTGGCCCAGCGCAGTGCCTGTGGGTGAGTGCATGTCTGGACAACTTGGAGCTCCCAGGCTCCAGATGTGTGACCAACCTGCACCTGTGGGGGCCACTGCAATGTGTGAGTATGAGATCAGGGTGAGTGATCAGGGTGAGTGTGAGAGTCAGAATATGAGTGTGAGAGAGTAAGTGTGAGAGTGAATCAGAGTGAGTGTGAGTGCATGCGTGTGAGAGAGTTGGAGAGTGAGAGTGACAATTAGAGATTGCGAGTTTGAGAGTGATAGTGATTCAAAGTGAGTGTGAGAGTAAGAGTGAGAGTGAGTGTGAGAGTGTGAGTGCACGTGAGGATCAGTGTGTGAGAGAGTGAGAGTGATTTAGAGTGAGTGTGAAAGTATGAGAGAGTGCAAATCAGACTGAATGTGAGTGTGTGTGAGAGTGTGTGAGTGTGAGAGTGAGAGTGAGTGTGAGAGTCTGATTTTGAGAGTGAAGTGAGTCAGTGAGTGTGACAGTGAGAGTCAGAGGGAGTGTGATAGTGAGTATGAGTGTGAGAGTTAGTGTGAGAGTGAGTGAGTGTGTGTGCTGAGATGAGAGTGTGATGTCAGTGAGTGTGTGAGTGTGAACGTGAGAGTGCATGTGAGTGTGTGAGTGAATATGAGAATGTGTAAGAGTGTGAGAATGTGAGAGGGAATGTAAGTATTGTGAATGTGAGCATGTGTGAGAATGAGCGTGTGTGAGGGTGAATCTGTGAGTGTGAGAGTGCGTGAGTGTGAGTCTGAGAATGAGTAGAGTGTGAGTGTATGTGAGCATGACTGAGAGTGGGTGTGAGTGTGAATGTGAGAATGTGTGAGAGTGAGCGTGTGTGAGGGTGAATCTGTGAGTGTGAGAGTGTGTGAGTGTGAGTCTGAGAATGAGTAGAGTGTGAGTGTATGTGAGCGTGACTGAGAGTGGGTGTGAGTGTGAATGTGAGAATGTGTGAGAGTGAGCGTGTGTGAGGGTGAATCTGTGAGTGTGAGAGTGTGTGAGTGTGAGTCTGAGAATGAGTAGAGTGTGAGTGTATGTGAGCGTGACTGAGAGTGGGTGTGAGTGTGAATGTGAGAATGTGTGAGAGTGAGCGTGTGTGAGGGTGAATCTGTGAGTGTGAGAGTGTGTGAGTGTGAGTCTGAGAATGAGTAGAGTGTGAGTGTGTGTGAGCGTGACTGAGAGTGGGTGTGAGTGTGAATGTGAGAATGTGTGAGAGTGAGCGTGTGTGAGGGTGAATCTGTGAGTGTGAGAGTGTGTGAGTGTGAGTCTGAGAATGAGTAGAGTGTGAGTGTATGTGAGCGTGACTGAGAGTGGGTGTGAGTGTGAATGTGAGAATGTGTGAGAGTGAGCGTGTGTGAGGGTGAATCTGTGAGTGTGAGAGTGCGTGAGTGTGAGTCTGAGAATGAGTAGAGTGTGAGTGTATGTGAGCATGACTGAGAGTGGGTGTGAGTGTGAATGTGAGAATGTGTGAGAGTGAGCGTGTGTGAGGGTGAATCTGTGAGTGTGAGAGTGTGTGAGTGTGAGTCTGAGAATGAGTAGAGTGTGAGTGTATGTGAGCGTGACTGAGAGTGGGTGTGAGTGTGAATGTGAGAATGTGTGAGAGTGAGCGTGTGTGAGGGTGAATCTGTGAGTGTGAGAGTGTGTGAGTGTGAGTCTGAGAATGAGTAGAGTGTGAGTGTATGTGAGCGTGACTGAGAGTGGGTGTGAGTGTGAATGTGAGAATGTGTGAGAGTGAGCGTGTGTGAGGGTGAATCTGTGAGTGTGAGAGTGTGTGAGTGTGAGTCTGAGAATGAGTAGAGTGTGAGTGTGTGTGAGCGTGACTGAGAGTGGGTGTGAGTGTGAATGTGAGAATGTGTGAGAGTGAGCGTGTGTGAGGGTGAATCTGTGAGTGTGAGAGTGTGTGAGTGTGAGTCTGAGAATGAGTAGAGTGTGAGTGTATGTGAGCGTGACTGAGAGTGGGTGTGAGTGTGAATGTGAGAATGTGTGAGAGTGAGCGTGTGTGAGGGTGAATCTGTGAGTGTGAGAGTGTGTGAGTGTGAGTCTGAGAATGAGTAGAGTGTGAGTGTATGTGAGCGTGACTGAGAGTGGGTGTGAGTGTGAATGTGAGAATGTGTGAGAGTGAGCGTGTGTGAGGGTGAATCTGTGAGTGTGAGAGTGTGTGAGTGTGAGTCTGAGAATGAGTAGAGTGTGAGTGTATGTGAGCGTGACTGAGAGTGGGTGTGAGTGTGAATGTGAGAATGTGAGAGTGAGCGTGTGTGAAAGTGGGTGTGAGTGTGAATGTGAGAATGTGTGAGAGTGAGCGTGTGTGACTGCGCAGGGTTGTACGTGAGTCCTGTCATCCTGTCTCCCCAGGGATCTCCCATTGTGATCCAGAGCGTGCAGGTGAGGGCGAGTGTTGTCTGGGTCTGTGGGGAGAGATTCACCTTGCTCAGGGTCCGAGAGCAGCTCCATGGGCCCCTGAGAGCCCTTGAAGTTCACACAGAGCCGATCCTCACTCTGTCCAGGCAGCGGCAGGATGATGGGCGGGGCCTGGATGGAGGCTGGACGGCAGGGACTGTTCAGGGGCACTTACAGTCACCACAGTCCAGAAAGGGCGGCGGGGGGAGTTGCCACCATACCTGGGGTTGGAGCTACCGTGGCCAGTTCTGAAAGGAGCAAAGGTGGGCTTAGGGAGGAGGCGTGGGGGGGGGGGAGAGGACACGCTGGCTGGGCTCCCTCTCTGCTTTCACTCCCAGGCCCCCCAGGGTTTCCCTGCTACAGGCCAGGACGGACTGCAGGGACTCTGGTCTGAAAGGCACCTTGGGCTTCTAGCTCCACAGTGAGGAAGTCACTGGGCAGGAGGGAATCCACTGAGGATGGTAAACCAGGCATTCCTGCTGCACCAACTAGAAACAGAAAAGGAAAAGACTGTTGGCATTCAGAACCTCGTCCCGAACCCTCCAGCCCATAACCCCTACACACATTAGCTCCCATCCAGGAGAACTGCAGAGAAAGGAAAAACGCAACGTGGCGGGGCAGGGGCGGGTGGTGGGTGGTAGTCGTGGGTAAGGCCAAGCCTGGCTCTGCCCTTGTCTGAGTTTGCAAACTCAGCTCCAGGGACCCTGTTGGCTTTGTGAATGGAAACAACCTTCTCTTTCTAGAATGTTCCATCTGAAGGCAGCTTCCAGTGGAATGGACCCATCCCAGTGAAAACAAAGAACATCCGATTGATGTCACATTCCACAACAACTATGCCTGGGCCCATCCCGGAGCTGAGTGGCTGGTCTCACCCGATGAACTGGGTCTATTTGAGCATGGGTGAGAGGGGACTGGGGCCCAGACCGTTCCCTGGTGCTCACCCATCATTTTGGAGATGAGTGGTGGGTTGAAGGGAAGCATAAGGGTAGAGTCGGTCAGTCCCATTGATCTCAACGGCGTGCCGGCTACCTTGAAATTCTTAACTTTGGAAAAGGGGTCATGAGCGGTCTTCTCTCAAGCAGACACATGGTCCCCACTGCTGGGGCTCCAGGTCCTGCTCCCGAACACTTTCCCCAAACCCCGACAGGGAGAAATCCAAGGCTGGAACGGTGGGTCCTTCTTGAATGTCCCCCCCCGCCCCCCGCCATTGGACTATCAGGCACACCTGCCCCGAGCTCCGCAGGGTCCCTCACACCCCTTGGCCCTTAGAGATGCTTCTTTCAGGAGGAGAGGAACCCCACTGCAGGCCCCCAATCACAGGGACCCCACGGCGGCCCCCCCAACAACTTACCTGACTACTTACCCCCAACCTACCACTCAGGCAGGTCCCAGCCCAGCCCCCCAGCCAGGTGGACCCGGCAGAACTCCCCTGGCCCACACCCACCCCCAGGCCAGTCGAGGCTCTGCCCACTGCCCCTTGCCTACCATGGCCTGTGCTACCTCTGTTTCTGGGCCTTGAGATGCCTGGGCTGAAGAGTCTCAATGACGGAAGACCTGGAAAACCAGGGCTGGGTTTGCTCTGGGTGGTGCTTGTTAAGCCCCTCAGCTGTTGTTAGTGGGCAGGACCGAGCCTGAGTGGCAGCCAGAGTCCAGATGAGCCCGTGACTGCGTGTGCAGCAGTGCTGGGTGGCCTTGAGCTGCAGCGTTCCCCTGAGTCAGCCACCCAGGCCCGGGCCAGACCTGGCAGCACCTGGGCTTTACCTTGGTGCGTTCTCATGTCTCTCTCTTCTGGATAAAATAACAGAGAAAGCAGGGGTTAGTCTTGCTCCCCACTACTCCATTTGGTGCAGAGAGTTCGGGGGTGGTCAGTAGGCCTGGCCTCCTCCTAGAGCCACATTCATGATATGGAGTTCCCAGGAGTCTGGGCGGTAGGTCTGGGGTCCAGGTAGGGCGATGGGGTGAGGGTGGGGAACTGGGAGAGGGCTGGGTCACAGCTATTCCCAAGGGGCCCGGGACCCCGTGGTCACACTCACCCTTTTCCAAGGGCTTATCGACGACCTGGGACTGCTCCTGGCCTTCGGGCTTGGTGACCACCATGGACGTGAGCGGGGTGACGAAGTTGTAGTTGAGCGACAGGCCCAGCGCTCGCGCCTCCAGGGCGGGCTTCTCTGCGTCTGAGGCGGAAACCCTGCACGTTGGAGAAACCAGCTCAACCCCAGGGAGGCTCCTTCCCTCCCTCCGGGACCCTCCTGGGGTGCATGTGTGGAGTTTGCTTGCACTCAAATGCAGCCCCATGCTCCCCTCTTTTTGGGCCCGGCAGAGGGCCCCACACCAGCTGGGCCCAGTTCACCCTGGAGAGCCCTGCAGGCGGGGTGCCAGCCCAGGAGGCCCCAGCCCAGGGTGCGACGCAGCCACCCACATCTGTTCCAGGAGCTGCTGGATGGTCAGGTACGCCCAGAGCCTCTCCATGAAGCCGTGGAAGATGTACTTGAGGCTCCGGAACTGTGCCTCCTGCTCGGTCACACTGGGCTCCATCTGGAAGGTGATGTTCTGCATGGCCTGGAGGGGGAGGCAAAGCCGGGCTGTGAGGGACGAGGAGACCCTGAGGATGAGAAGGGGCCCCAGGGCGGGCGGGCCTTGGTGGAGAAGGGGACGTCTGAACCTCAGATCCGCTCCCCAGCAGCTGCAGTAGGTAAGGCTGTGCCCATTCGGTGGGTCGGGGCCCAGGGGCAGCCCACTCCGCCTCATCTGGGCTGGGCCTTGGGAGGAGCAGAAAGGGGGTTGGGGTCTCCTCTCCCCACCTGGGCCTGTCCCCTGCCCATGCTGGTGCCCTTGACTGGGCACTGTGCATGCGGCTGCCATGAGGTGAGTGCCTGAGCTTTGAAGATGGCCTCAGCAGGAGGGGTCTCTCTGGTCTCCCTGGGGATAGAGTGCTCAGAGCGGCATCACGGGCCTCTGCAGGGGCCAGCCCCTGCACCCCTGTGGGGTCACCTCCCACCTCTTTCCCAGAGCTTTCCCACATGCAGGCTTGTAGCCGGCTGGTTTCCCTCAGATGAACTTTGTTGTTTGGGGGTGTAGGTGTCAGGCCCCCTACAGGCCAGCCACTTGGGGACCACCAGGACAGGAAACAGGTCGTGCTAGGGACCAAAGTCAGGGGCCTCAAACCTGCCAGGCAGGTGCTCGAACACCTGAGCATCCTCCTGGCCCTGGACTAACACTCTTTCTTAGCCTTGGCCTAAGAAATAGTATTTGTGAAATCTTGTTTTGTTTTGGCCCAAACCAGTGGTGTTCAAGACTTGGCTATGGTTCTGCACTCAGGGATCACTTCTGGTGTAGCTTGAGGGACCATACAGGGTGCCGGGGATTGAACCCAAGTTGGCTGCGGGCAAGGTAAATTCCCTAGCCACTGGACTCTCTCTCCGGCCCCATATTTGTGAAATCTTTGATCTGCCTTATTCAGAACACACATTCCAATAAACGTACTAAAACAAAGACATGAAGGTCGAGAGATAGTACAGGGTTTAAGGTTTGATCCCACACTCAATATTGCATGGTCTCCTGAATATTACTGGGTGTGGCCCTCTCGTATCACCACAGTGATGGAGCAGCAAAGCTCTGCTGAGAGGGCCTTGTGCCTCCTGAGCACCATTGGGTGGCCCAAAATTAACTCTTGAATTAGCTTGCCCACCCACCCACCCATCCAACTAACTAAGTCAAGCAAAGATGTGCTGATTCACTGTTCACAATAGTCAGAATCTGGGAACAACCTGAGTGCCCAAGAACAGATGAATGGATAAAGAAACTATGATACACCTACTCAATGGACTATGCAGATGTTAGGGAGAATGAAGTCATGAAACTTGCTTATAAATGGATTGACATGGAGAGTATCATGTTAAGTGTAGGGAGTTTGCCTTGCACGCAGCCAGCCCGGCCGAGCCAGGTTTGATTCCTCCGCCCCTCTCGGAGAGCCCGGCAAGCTACCGAGAGCTTCTTCCCTGCATGGCAAAGCCTGGCAAGCTACCCGTGATGTATTCGATATGCCAAACACAGTAACAAGTCTCAAAATGAAGACGTTACTGGGCCCACTCAAGAAAATCGATGAACAATGGGAGGACAGTGACAGTGACAGTGATATATAAATATTTTATATTTGACATGGAGTGTGTCATATTAAGTGGAATGAGTCAGAAGGATATATATGTATGTATATATATATACATATATATATTGCACTGTAGCACTGTCCTCCCATTGTTGTTCATCATTTTGCTTGAGCGGGCACCAGTAACGTCTCCATTGTGAGACTTGTTGTTACTGTTTTTGGCATATTGAATATGCCACAGGGAGCTTGCCAGGCTCTGCCATGCAGGTAGGATACTCTCGGTAGCTTGCTGGGCTCTCCAAGAGGGACGGAGGAATCAAACCTGGGTCAGTCGCATGCAAGGCAAACGCCCTACCCGCTGTGCTATCACTCCAGCTATATATATATATATATATATATATATATATATATATATAGTCATAGTCCTCCCATTGTTCATCGATTTGCTCGAGCGGGCCCAGTAACTTCTCCATTGGAGACTTTGTTGTTACTGTGTCTGGCATATCGAATACTCTCGGTAGCTTGCCGGGCTCTCTGAGAGGGGCGGAGGAATCGAACTCGGGTCGGCCATGTTGGCCGCTTGTAAGGCAAACGCCCTACCACTGTGCTATTGCTCCAGCCCCTATATATAGATATAGATATAGATATAGATATAGATTAATATCCAAGGTGAGGGTGAATGAGCTAGGAGGACAGGATTGGAAGCTTGCCACAAGAGTGGGGTGGGGTGAGTGGTGGTGAAGAGCACAGGGAAAGGGATATACCTGATAACCTTTCATTATCTGTATTGCAAACCATAAGGCCCAAAAGGAAAGAGAGAGAGAGAAGAAAAATAGAAAGATAGAGGAGAGAGAGAGAGAGAGAGAGAGAGAGAGAGAGAGAGAGAGAGAGAGAGAGAAGAGTGCCTGCCATAGTAGCAGGCGGTGTGGGGGTGGGAGGGAAGCTGGGAACATTGGTGCATTAGTGGTGGGAAAAGTACACTGGTGAAGGGACAGGTGTTGGAACATTATATGACTGAAATTCAATCATGAACAACTTTGTAAATGTGTATGTCACTGTGATTCCTTTAAAAAAAATTAGCGAGGGAGGGAGGGGGAGAAAAAGATGCGCTGGTTCATGAACAAGTGACTGTGGGTCCTCACGTAGGAAGCTCCTGGCCTCCAGGAAATCAATGCAGACAGCTCTGGCCAGTTCTCTGGGATCAGGAGCCATGGGGAGGGGGCTTCACTCCCTCACCCCGGCCACACTAACGCCTTGGCCCTGTCTCACATCATCATTAGGTTTGAGGCCAGGCAGGTTGGCCAGGGGCAGACAGCAGCCCGCCCCCTCCCACGTGGTTGCATCTGAGCCGGGCCCATCCCTCTGTGCACGCCTACTTCTCCTACCTGCCTGCCTCCCTGCCTGCGCCGGCCACAGCCCAGAAACCTGCATCCCACATCAGCTGGGAACATTCTTTCATGCCTCCTGGTCTGATCCCTGCCATCCCCCACCTCCCTTCAGTCTCGTGGTTGGGGGTGGTTGGGGGGAAGGAGCTTTCTGGAGGAGACCCACACTCAGGCCAGCTCAGTGCTGCTCTCCCAAGCACCCGGGTTTACCCTGTCAGGATGGCCCAGCCACATGCTTCCCTGGGAGGCAGCATCCCCGGACCACAAGAAGGAATCAGAACCCCCCTTGGTGAGCCTGGACCTCAATAGGAAGCAGCCTTCCCGGACTGACTGAGTGCCACCTCTGAGGTTAGCACGAGGATGGGAGGGCAGGCACCTGGTGCCCCAAGGGACAGCAGGGACACAGTGGGGGTTAAGGGGGGCTTGCCACCTCTTTGATGGTCCACCATGAGTGGTGGGAGAGGGCCACCCACCAGGGGCCAAGGAGACTTTGTGGCATAGGTCAATGACGTGAACCCTGAAGCTGAATGCTGTCAGCTGGGGGACAAGTGGCCACACTCACCTGCTTCCCGCTGACTTTGGCTAAGAGCACATCTGGGCTGTCGTCCCGGAGCTTCCCGGCCACCACCATCTCTGCACCCTTGAAGAGCAGCCGGAAGTTGTCCCGTGTGACCTCCTCCACAGCATTGCTTGGGTACTCAAAGGTCACTGCTGTCACCAGTGGGTTGGCCACCTCCTGGTAGAAGTCCTGCGGGGTGGACAGTGGCGAGCGGGCACTGTGAGGGCAAGTGCGGGCTGGCGGGTCCAGGGCCGCCTCTCTGGGCAAACACGGTACCTGCAGCTGCAGGTTGGAGTCGGAGTCCTGGTAGATGCGCCGCGCCAGACCGCCGTTCTCCAGTGCCATCTTCTCCAGGAACTCGTAGCTGACGTCAAAGCCGAAGCCCAGGCAGAAGAGGCTGTACTGGCCAGCGATGGCTTCCTGCACATTCTTCTGGATTTTTTCCGGGTCGGTCTCCCCTGAGGAGGGAGTGAGGAAAGGGCGACTCCTTCCGTGGACATTGGTGGGGTTTCGGAGCCTTCCCTCCCCGCCACAGCCCCCGCGAGCGGACGGGGTGGTGGTGCCTCAGCAGCTCCCCGGGGGCTACGCCCTTACCCTCCGTGGGGTCCCCGTCCGTGAGCAGGATGATGATGGACACGCTCCCAGCAGACAGCTGCTCCTTGCGGTTGGCGTCATCCAGCAGCTTCACAGCCATCAGCATGGCACCATTGATGTTGGTCCCTGCGGGCAAGGCACTCAGGGGGGGTTCCTGGCCATTGCCCCCACCTCCCTCTCCCTGCGGGAAACTCACCGCCATGGGCCTGGATGCTGGCAGCATAGCTCTTGGCCTTGTCCACGTTCTCAGCCGAGGCAGGCACCAGGGATGGCTTCCACTTCTTGACCTGACTGCTGAAGTCGACGAGGTTGAACTGGTCTTGGGGGCTGAGATCACCCAATATCTTGATGAGGGCTTCCCGGGTCTGCTCGGGGGAGGAGAAGGCGAGGTGGGATGTGCGTGGGGAACTCGGGTGCCCTTGGGCTGGCATCCCAACTGGGAGACGGAGGGCACACGGCACAGGCTCTGAAGGCCAGTCTGGACCCGAGGGAGTTGGTGCTTCTAAGTTCAGTGATGTGGAGACCTGATTCAGGGCCTCACGCGGGCCCTGGGACACACCTGCTGAATTTTCTTGCCCATCATGGAGCCGCTTCTGTCGATGACAAAGATGACATTCTTGGGAATGGTGGACAGGCCCTCGGGAGCAAAATAGTGCACAAAGTAGCCATTCTCGATCTGTGAGAGTCAGACAGACAGACAGACAGACACACAGACACACACACACACACACACACACGAGCGGTGAGGGGAGCAGACCCTCAGCTGCCTCCTCGCCCTGAGGCCCCTATGTTGTTCTCTGCTCCAGCCCCTTCTACTCCTGCCCCCAAACCCTTGCCACCTCTTGGGGTCTGGCCGGCCCTCTCCTGCTGCCTGGCTCTCCGGAGCCTCACCTCCACTTGCTCTACCTCCTCTTTCAGTATCTGAGGCACCCAATCCTAAAAGTTTTGTGACATGATAAACCTGAGGTCTCTCAAGAGAGCAAAGACTCTCAAAACAAGGTCTGTTAAAAGAGTAAAGGAAAAGCCCAGTGATTCCAGAAACAGAGATGAAGAAAACTATTGTGATGGTGCGTGAAGCCGGGCTCGGTGCTCCAGCAGCCCAGGCAAGGAGGGAAGTTGCAAGTAGAAAGGAACAGTTTTGGAACTCCAAAGGGGTTTTATTTTAATTTAGTTTTTTTCCCCCTTTTTTGGTCACACCCGGTGATGCTCAGGGGTTACTCCTTGCTTTGCACTCAGGAATTACTCCTGGCAGTGCTCACGGGACCATCTGGGATGCCAGGGATCGAACCCGGGTCGGCCGCGTGCAAGGCAAATGCCCTGCCCGCTGTGCTATCGCTCCGGCCCCTTATTTTAGTTTTGATTTGGGGACACGCCTGGTGATGCTCAGCACTCAGGAATTACTCCTGGGAACTATATGGGATCCTGGGGATCAAACCTGGGGTGGCTGCATGCAGGGCAAGTGTCCTACCCACTGTACTATCTCTCCAGTCCCCTCTGAAAGGATTTTAGGGATAATACAACTCCTTGTTGTTGCTCTGCTAGCCCCTGGGACACAGTGTTAAGGAGGAGAATGATTTTGTCTCGGGCTCCTAACAGCCCAGGCTGATACCCTGGAGGGTGGGTGCATTTCCTGGCATCCTCGTCTCCATCAGAGCCCCCCACCCCCGCACCTGAATGGAGCCCCCAGAGAGGCTCCGGTTCACATCGTAGCGGACGATGAAGTTGCCGTCCAGGGCTATGCCCTGCTGCTCCGGAGAGGTTTGCTGCTGGGCGAGGGTGGGCTTGAACTGGATGTGGGCCTGGGGGAGTGGCAGAGGCTGGGGTCGGAAGGAGCAACTGGGCCGACCCAGTCACACACCTAGCCCCGGCCGACCAGCAGGGGCAGGTGAGGGATCCAGGACTCAGCCTTGGGTGCAGAGCCGGGACGGATGTTATGAGCCGGCCAAGTGCCCTGCTCTGTGTTGGCTGCAGCAGGCTGTGGGTCCCTCATAGAGGCCCCTGGCCAAGCCTGAGCCCCCATCCAGGAGTCACCCCAACATCCCTGCCCTCCTCCAGGCCTCACCCTCCCTGTCCCCCTCACGACAGAGACCTGTGACCCCCACTCCCAACACACACTGGGCCCAGCTCGGAGGGAGCCCTGGGGATTCTGTGGGCTCTGAGCCGTGCTGACCCCCACCCCGTGCCCTCATCAAGGCCCTGGATGGCCTCAGCCCCCTGAGCCTCAGAGCTCCGGGGCTCTGTGTCACTGTCCCACCCGCTGCACATGTGGGCCCGTAGGCTGGCCGATGGACAGAGCCCCTGACCCACACGCAGTCACCCACCTTGGTCTCATTCTGGGAGATGGTGAGGGCCTCTGCCAGCTCATTGGTCATGAAGGAGCTCTCTGTCTCCAGGGAGCTGATGCCCTGGGGCTCGAAGATATGAATGTCCATCTGGAGGTGAGACATGTGTCGGGGGGGTGGGGGTGGGGTCAGCCAGGAGCCAGGGGACAGCCTGGCTGGGGCCATCCAGGAGGCCTGCTAGGAGGAGGTGGCCAGGTACCTGCAAGTGCTTAAGCGGATGCTGGGGCTGGACTTTCAGCAGCAGCTCGTACACCCCCAGCTGCCGCTGGAGCAGCTCCTCATACACCAGCTCGAAGGTGACCTTGGCAGCAGGAGCCACGTTGACCGACACCTGGAACTTCTCTGTCTTCCTCCCGGTGGCCCTGGTGGAGGCGGGTCTCAGGCTGGCGCTCGGGGGCCAGGTGCACGTGGGCCCCAGCACGGAACCGCGCCCTCCCCAGAGCCCTCCAGCCTCCTCCGGCTCACTTGACCAGGCCTGCACTCTCTCCCCGGGCCACGGCGGCACTGTACTGCTCCTGGGCCGCCTTCTTCTCCTTGATGTTCCCCGGGTAGGTCACCCCGTCGATGACCCTGCACAGAGGCGGGATGGTGAGAGTCTGGCGGTGAGGGGGTGGGGGGGGCCGAGAGGCCCACTCTTTGTCCCCTGCCCTGGGCCTCTACGTCTCCCCGAGCCTCCCCTGCCTTACCAGGCACCTCCTGTCAGGAGCCCCATGGTGCAGGTGCACCCCAGGGAGCAGGGGTGGGGGAGAGGAGGGAGGCAGGACCCTCTGCACCCTCCAGGCCCCTTCCCTGCAGGCTATGCCAAGCTGAGGAGCGGGGGAGGTATAGCAGGAAGGGGGAGGGAGAAAAGCTCCCAGCTTGCTCCTGGGGGCCCCCCAAACTTAGGGCAGAACCCTCCACACAGAGGCTGGACTGTGGGGAAGTGGTCTGGGGGAGTCTGAGGGGGACGGGCCAGTCTTGGGGCCGAGCCGAGTTCATCTATGGAGCGTTCAGATGAGGGAGGAAGGATAAGTGAGGTGACCCTGGGTCTGCAGGGTGGGAGCTGAGGCAGGCAGGGAGGAGACAGCCAGTCCCTCACTGCTCTCTGCTCTCCAGTGAGGTGGGAGTGGGGGCCCCAAGGCTCCTTCCCGATGCCCATGAGGCTCCTGGCCAGGTCAGGGCACCCAGCTTCCGGCTCCCACATGCTGTTTCCTGCAGTCCAGAGAGGGGTCAGGGCGTCAGTCCTGGCCCTGAGCAGCCCCAGTGGAACCTGGCCAGCTGTGGACATAGTCCCGTGTGGGCAGCGATCAGAATGCTCTGGGGGGTGGGAGCACCCCAGCCCCAGGGACTCAACCCCTTGCAGGTGTCCAGAGGCCCTGGGCTACAGCGAGAAGCTCTGTCATTGCACCCCAGTCCACCTGACCAAGCCTCTCATCAGCAGGCCCTGTCACCGCCTCTTCCCTGAGGCCAGGAAAACATTGCAAAATCCCATGGGAGCACAAGAAAGAACAAGGTGGGGACCAGTATGGCTCAGAGTCCACAGAGTTTCCGGGACTTCCACTGTGGTCTACGGCCTGGGCCAGGTCGACAGTGCGTGCGTGTGTGTGTGTGTGTGTGTGTGTGTGTGTGTGTGTGTGTGTGTCTTGGGGGTGGGGGGCTGAGTGAGAACTTCCAGGGACAGCAGGGGGCTGGGGCTAGTAGCTGTGCTGCATGGGGGGTGGCCTGGGGCTAGGGCACTTTTGCCATCTGTGCCCGAGACCCCAGCTGGAGTCCTCCCAGGGACAGACCCCAAGTGCCTTGGTTCTCTGCGGGCCACCCAGCAGGCGCAGAGGGATGTTGAACGGATGGGAGGGCAGATGAGCAGGTGGACTAATGAAGGGTGGGACGAGGCTAGTGGCACCCCTTCAGGCACACCCCCCACCATCCCGACCCAGGAAGGCCACGGGCAACAGTGATGGCCATGGCACTTACATAGAGAAGTTGGTGATGAAGGCTTTCTTGGGCAGCTCCATCTGGAATGTGGCCTCCCGTGTCGAGTTAGCCCTGTTGACCACCCGGCTGGTGACCACCGTGTGTGCGAACCGGGAGGTGACCTTGGAGTCCACGGTGAGGCTGTAGATGTCGATGCCATTCTGGGAAATGGGGGGACGTGAGGGGACCACTCGAGGCCACTGCCTCTCCCAGGGATGGCCTGATGCTGGCCCTGAATGAGCCCGACGCCCAGCTGTACCTCAGATGCCCCAACTTCCGTGGGTCCCACGGCAGGGGTCTCTCTGCCTTGCTGTGTGTGGATTGGGACCCGAACCCCAGAGTGTCTGAGGGGGACACTCACGCTGCAGCTGCAAGGCCCCCGCTGGCGAATGCTCTTCCAGTGTGGAGACTTGGACTCCTACAGACCTTGGCCTCCAGGGGAACTGGGAGAAACTGTCTCCCCCCAGGGGGTGGCGAGGGAGGGGTCTCCAAGGGCTGGGAACCTTCCTCTTCATCCCCTTTTCCTGTTCCCTCGACCTGAGCCCACTGGGCAGCCCCCAGCCACCTGCTCTCTCCCCCCACTCCCCTAAAGACACACACGTGCACACGTGGAGCCTCACGGCCACTCGCCTGTGCTTGTCACGTGAGCATATTTGGGTCTTCGGGCAGCCAGAGCCATACGGGCTCTGTGGCACGTCCTGGCTTAAGTCCTTAAGAGCGAGCGTAGGCAGGCTGCATCTTCACAGCCAGCCTGCATGGTTTGCAGGAGAAGAGTGAGAGAGGGCGCCCAGGAAGGAAGGGGAGAACCAGGCTCCCGCAGGCTGTATCCCTGCCCTGCCCACACCTGGTCTGGTCAGGAGGTATGAGAGGGTCGCCCTCCCATGAGCCGCGAAACGGTCCTTCCAGGGAGCCGGTTCTCTTCCCCGTCATATCCTCTAAGCTGTGTTCACTCAGACTCAGCAGCCATAGGGGCCCCCTCCCCGCCACAAGCAGGCACACGCACACGAGCCCCCGTGACACCAGCTACCTTGGTGGCAGTGGTGGCCTGCAGGACAGCCAGCAGGGACAGCAGGAGCAGCCCACGGCTGTGGGCCTGGCTGAGGGTCTTCATTGCAGCTCCTGCACCTGTCCGGCTGCATCTGAGTCGTAGCAGAAATGGGGGTGAATTAGTAACTTGTCCCTCTCCCACCCCACCCCTGCGGGGGCGGATTCTGGGAAGTTGGGCCGACCAGCCAAGAACTGGGCCGCAGTGTCTGATAAGCCGCCAGGACTGACTGGGTTTCCTGTGGACTTTGGCTGGACAAGGCAGCCAGGGCAGGCACTGGGGTTTGTAGCCCCTTCTGAAGGCTCCAGAAGCCTTCCCAGGCCAGTCCCTGTTCCCCCTCTACACACACATACACACACACACACCAGCCATGCACACCCCCCCCCCCCCCCCCCGCCAGCTTCCTGGGGATGAAGCTGGAGACGGCTGACTCTTCATTAGTTCAGCCTGCGGGAGGCAGGGAGGAGGCCAGAGGGGGCTGCAGAGAGGCTGTGAGCATGGCCAGGTTGTGAGTGGGTCCTGGAAGAGAAGCCCTGGGGGCTCTCTGAGTGGCGCCTGAGGCCGTGTGGAGATGCCCTTTCCGGGCTGAGAGGGAGGACCCCTTCTCCCGGGTCTTGGGCCCTTTGGTCCAGCAGCTGGGACTTTCTCTTCGACTGCCTCGAGGACCCCACAATAGAACCTGCAATGGGGCAGCGTGGCTGGGAGCCCCCAACAGGCTCCCGGTGTGTGTGGGGGGGTCCTGCTCCTGGGAACATACACATAGAAGTAAAGTGAGTAGAGCAGACCCCTGACCTCTGCAGGAGGACTTCAGGGTGGCGAGTACACCGGGGGCTTTCGGGGGTCAGCAGGAGTCGGGGCTTACATGAGGAGGGCTGGAATTAGGCTCTGCCCGCGGCTGCTGTCAGCAGTGCAGACCCACCCCAGTGGGCAGTGGGATCACTGGCGCTTTTTCCAATTTTTCTTCAACAAGATTGAAACGCTGCTTTTAGAACAAAGAGCAGGAGAGTGAATAAACAGGAAGTCGTCTGGAGGCAGGTGCAGCCAGGGAAAGTTCCTGGTCCAGAGTAGCCACCAAGAGAGAAAAATACTTCTGGAAAGTGTGGTCAGGAGCCAAATGCTTGGTCGGGGAAAGGATGGCTTGGGGACACTGGCCTGGTGTGTGTGTGTATGTGTGTGTCCTCTTGTGTGTGCATGTGCTGTGTGTGTGAGTGTGTGTGTGTGCGTATGCACTTAGCGTATGTTTGCATGTGTGTGTGTGTGTGTGTGTGTGTGTGTGTGTGTGTGTGTGAGTGAAGGTGTGCACTAGTGTGTGGTTCCCTGGGTCTTAGGTGGGGCCCTGGGCAGGGTCTCCTCCTTCAACCCTGCTGCCATCAATGCCCTCTGGAAGGGAAGGGATCATCACTCCAAGTAATGTCTCTCTAAGCATGACAGTGGTCAGAAGAAGCCCCACCTGGGGGCTGGAGGGATAGCACAGTGGGTAGGGCATTTGCCTCGCACGTGGCTGACCCAGGTTCGAGTCCCAGCATCCCATATGGTCCCCTGAGCATCGCCAGGAGTAATTCCTGAGTGCAGAGCCAGGAGTAACCCCTGTGCATCGCTGGGTGTGACCCAAAAAAGAAAAAAAAGGAGAAGCCCTCCCCCCCTGCCCATTTGTGTGTGCGTCTCATCGCCTGCCCTCTGGGCTCTGGGTTCCTGGGGTTACACAGGGGAATGTGCCCTTCAGCATGCTGGGAATCAGGAGCTCTCCAGGAATCAGGGAGCAGGTTCAGGCCTCGCCCCCCGCCCCAAGAAGCCTAGCTCCCTTGGGGCTCAGAGCCTGGGTCCAGCCCAGAAGCCTCTACAGAAGGCAGGCAGGCAATTGGGAATGTGGGAAAGGCGCCAGCAGCCAGCTTCAGCCCTGCCCGGGGAACAGGCGGGCTTCCTTGGAGGGCCCAGCCTGGAGCCAGGCTTGGCAGCCCGTTGGCCACCCTCAGCCTGTCAGTGCTCTTGCCACCCAATGGGTCTCTGTATGCCACTTGTTGCTGGAGAACCTGGAGGGTTCTGAGGTTCTTGTTTAACCTGATCTAGAAGGTTCTGGATGGGAACAATGCAGGGAAACGGCGAGAAAGACAGACACACAGCAAGGGTGAGTAAGAAGTCCTGTTTATTGCCAAGCTCCAGGACAGGCAGGAGAGCAGGCCAGCACCCCCAGAGAGGAGCGCGCTGCGTGTGTGTTGGTGGGGGTCGCAGGGTTTGCTCTGTCCCTGCTCCCACCATGGAGTGGGGCCAGTGGGCGTGGAGGGAACAGGGTGGACCTTATTTGTGCCGATACCAACACAAATTTGATTCTGTGCTTCACTTCTGTGGGACCGGGCTCAGGTGTGTGGGGCCCCTCTTCTCTGTTTGGTCCACGCCTGCCTGCCTCGTACCCCAGATAGGTCAGGGGGTGGTCAGCTGTGAGCGCAGCGAGTCCTTCAGCACAGGGGCCAGAGGGTTCCGGAACCCGAGCTGGGTTTTGTTTTCCTGTATCCTGTTCTACCCTCCAGTTTCCTGTGATGGATGGCCTTGGTGGGCTTGGCCCTCTGCCTGCTGCACATACACACGGGGGACGGGTTTCCTGGAGGGGCTCCAACTAGCCGGGGAAGACTGGAGCTGGGCCCTGACCGATTACATCTGGACCTGTCACTGGGTCTGTGTGAGGCCACAGGCTCCAGCTCAATTCCTTTGTGGTACAGAAGGGGAAACTGAGGCTCAGAAAAGGAAAGAAAGGCCTGAATCCCCAGAGGTCCCTCAGGACGAGGCTCCTGCCCCCACAGCTGTACTAGCATGAGGCTGGGACTGTGCGGGCAGCTGCCTTGTCCTCTGCGGTGCCCTGAAAGCCAACACCCCACCCTCCCTGCCCCTGCCTCAACCCCCCAACCCTCCCCTGCGGGACTCTCTTTATTGATATCCCATGGTGCTGTGTGTGAGACCGGGGCGGGGGGCCGGGCACCCAGGGTGGGGTGCTGGTCCCAGAGGCAGTGGTTGAGAGGTTGTCTGGCGTTGGGAGAGTCTGGGAAAGGCCCTAGGTTCCGGTCTCGGCGTGCGGCGGGCAGAGCTGTCGGCGCTTCTCAGCCAAAGACGCTCTTGGCAGGTTCGGCCTTGGGCTTCTCAAAGACGGTCTCAGTGCCCGTGCGGGCTCGGCTGAACACGGATGGGGCAGGACAGCCAGCCTGTTCTGTGGAGGCCCAGGGGGAGGAGTCAGGGGTCACTGCTTCCTGGAGGTGAAGGCCCCTTTTGTGGGGGCATCCCCTCTCCCACCCTGCGCTCCAGGAAACGGCCCAGGGGACGCACCCTCCTCGCCTCCCTACCTCACAGGAACACTCACCGCACTCCCGCATGACCTGGTAGGTCTTGGACTTGATCTCCTGGTTGTTGCCCAGGCTTCTTCGGGCCCCCTTCAGGTCCTCCTCCTTCATGGGGGGCCGCTTCTTCTTGATTGGGGCTTCCTGAGTGCCGGCCTGGGAGAGAGAGCCCCCTCACTCTCGGCTGCCTCCAGCCCCTTCCTGCCTCTCCTCCCGGGCCAGAGACCCCTTTCTGCCCCTCCTCTCCTAGAAGCCCCTCACGGCGCCCCTCAGCCGGCGCCCAGATAGGGCCCCTGGGATGCAGCTGCAGCCAACACTCCTCCCCCAGCGGCGGCTGAGGGGGGCGGCTCAGAGCCTGTGTCCAGGGCTTTTGCAAAGCGCCAGCATGTTTGGTGGGAGCGGGCAGAGAAGTCAGATGCCACATCCAGCCGGAATGTGCACATGGCACGGGAAGGACAGTCCTGCCCAGACAGGCGTCCTGGGGCCCCGGCCTCATTCCTTCCTAAGCTGGGGGCAGGTGCGGGGACTCCCTGGCCTCTGGGGCTGGACCGGGCTCACAACACCTCTCTCAGTTGTGTGCCCACAACTCCTGCCTTGTGTGTACATTTGTATGTTCTCTCCCTCCCTCCCTCCCTCCCTCCCCCCTCACATACACACACACACACACACACACACTCACATACATACTTTCTCTCACACATACTTTCTCTCTCATCCTATCTCTCACACACATAAACACTCTCTCACGTATACACTTTCTCTCTCACCCCCACCTCTCTCTCTTCTTTCTCTCTCTCACACACTCTCACATACACACCTTCTCTCTCTCACATACTCTCTCATCCTCTCTCTCTCACACACACACTCTTTCTTTCTTACCCTCTCTCTCACACACACTCACACACGTTCTCTCTCATCCTATCTCTCTCACACACATACACACTCTCTTCCGTATACACTCTCTCACACACACACTTTCTCTCTCACCCCCACCTCTCTCTCTTTTCTTTCTCTCTCTCACACACACTCTCACATACACACTTTTTCTCTCTCACATACTTTCTCTCACACTCATACACTCTCACCCTACTCTCTCACACACACTTTTTCACATACCTCTCTCTCTCTCACACTCACACACACACTCACACACACACACACTCACACACACACACTCACACACACACACTCCTCACATACACAGAGCTACAAACATCCGAGTGTCACACAGCCCCACCAGCAGCCCCTCACACACAGTGGCACCCACCAAGGCCCTGGCTTCCCTCTCAAGCTTCCTGACGATCCACGAACGCCTCCTAACCCTTGCTAAACAGGAATTCATCAGGGGAAGCTGGGGCCAGGGTGGCTTCCCCTCCGCCCCCAGCCACGACCCCCGTCCTCCCCAGCAATCCCGGTGTTGTGCCAGGGATGGCAGAGTCCCCTTCCCAACCCACACCGGACACCACTGTGGCCTACGCGGGCTCCTACCTGGGACATGGTGGGTGCGGGAGCGTCCGTCCTGAGGGCAGCTGCTGGCGGGGCTGAGAGTGCGGCGTCTGCGCGGGGGTTTATATAGCCCTGCCCGGTTCCTTCCGCACTCCGATGATTCAGGTCCCTCAGCCGCTGGCTTCAGAGTTTATTCTGGGAGATGAGAGGCTGGCCAAGCACTGCGGGGGGTCTGCGGGGGGGGGGGGGTGGTGGCAGACAGCAGGGAGCCCTGCCCAGGACACAGCTGCTGGTGCAGGTGGGAGGTGCTGGCGGCCCTGGTGTTGATGGATGTGGGTCCAGGAATCTGCCGGGCAGCCCCGCCTGCCTGGGCTGAGCCATGTCCGTGCGCCATCGTCCACAGGGGTTCCCCTCAGCAGGGACGGCTCTGGCATCTGTGGGCAGCGAGCTGAGACCCCTCCTCACTCCGTTTCTGAGAACTTCTAGCTCACGAGGGACATGCTTTGGACACCCCTTTCCACACCCTCCCCCCCACCCTCGACCCCAGGAAGGGGAAGCCCAGGCCTGGGGAACACAACTCGGAGCTCCTCGTTACCTCTCCCCCTCCCTGGATTCCAGAGGAAGCACTTTCCCCGCCCGGGTCCGTAGCCAAGAGCCCACGCTCCCCAGGCAGGCAGAGCTCGAACTTCCCGGCTCACAGCTGGGAGGCATCACATCTGCCTCTGCTGATGTCCCCGTCTGGCAGGACATCCAGAGCCGGTTTAGCAAAGGGATGGAGAATGTGGGTGGGGTGGGGAGAACTGGAGGGAGGAGAGAAAGGCAGGTTTAGTGAGGGGCAGTGAGCCGGGCAGAGGGGGCAGAGGGTACTGATGGGGCACCCCCCGAGGTGTCCCTTCTGTCTCCTTGGCTAGAGGCCTCCACCAGTGCAGCCTTCGAGACGCGGCCCCTGAGGCCGTGTGGCAGTCTCTGAGTCTGGGAGGGGTGGGGAGGCACCCCCCCCCCCCCGCCCGACTCCCCCCAACCTCCCAGTCAGATGCACCCAAGCTCCTGTTAGTCTGTGATTATTTTTATCCTTGAAGGCTCCGGAGAGACAGCACCCGACTCACCCTGACATTTGGTCGTTCCAGCCGCTCCCACGGCCAGCGCCACGGCTGCCAGGCTCCAGCCAGAGACAGGTGCTGACATGAGGAACACCGGGGGGACAGCCGTGGGCACAAACAGACTCGCCACCGAGGCCAAGAGGCAGCCGAGGGCAGGCCCAGGGAGGCTCTGCGGCCGCTGCCCCCACAGCTGGCTGAGCCTGGCCTGTGCTTCGGACGTGGGAGATTCCGGACCCCGCCAAGGCCCACGCCCCTGGGGCAGGCGTAGATCTGCCGTGGGGGCGCTGAGCTGGCAGTGCTGGCCTGGTGGCGAGGTGCTGGGGACGGAACCCAGGGCACTGTATCTGCTGGGCACGTGCTCTGCCACTGCCACTACTGTACCACGTCGCAAGAACATGAAGACAGGAGCCTGCCTGGCGCCCTCGGCAGGGATGGCTCTGGCGTCAGGGGTCAGCGAGCTGAGGCCCCTGCCCATCCCGTTTCTGAGTTCTTTTTTTTTGCTTTTTGGGTCACACCCAGTGATGCACAGGGGTCACTTCTGGCTCTGCAGTCAGGAATCACTCCTGGCGGTGCCCAGGGGACCATATGGGATGCTGGGATTCGAAACCGGGCCGCCCGCATGGAGACGTTCCACCTACCCACTGTGCTATCGCTCCAGCCCCTCTGAGAACTTCTAACTCAGGAGGGACATGCTTTGGACAACCACCCCCCCCCAAAAAAAACACCATTTTAACTCTAGAGACCTACAGCACAATAATAAGTTTCCTTTATTATCATTTTGGTTTAGGGATCACACTCAGCAATGCTCAGGGCTTACTCCTGGCTCTGCACTCAGAAATCGCTCCTGGTAGTGCTCGGGGACCCTGTGAGATGCGGGGGGATCAAACCCAGGTCGACCATGGGCAAGGCAAGCAGCCTATCTACACACTACTGTCTCCGGCCCCACAAGAAGTTTCTTATAACAAACAACAAAACACACAACAAACAGGTAGTCAGATACTGGACTTTTATTGTAAACCATTTTACAATATAAGTACATCCTCTTCCCTTTCATTTCAGAAATGTGCCCCCCCAGCCCCCCGTGGACCCCCAACCTCTGGGGTACGGGGGACAGGCTGGGGAGACGTCACAGGTCTGATCTCTGACACATTTCACGAAACAAGAAATCAAATGGCGCCCGCCCTCCCTCCGACCCACGCGGGTGCTGGGGCCACAAGCAGGTACCAGCAAGCCAGCAGGGTCCTGCAGCTGGACAGCCCCACACCCGGGGTGGGGGGCATGAGAACCTTCTCCCTCTCTGAGCCAGCACCATCCACTCTTTTAACTGCTTGGGGGTGCACAGTGTGGAGGGCCGGGGGGCTGCTGGCCGTCTCCAGGGTCCAGCTCCACCACACCCACGAGGGGAATTACCACTATTACCCCTAGGATGTGAACCGTCGCCCAAGGGGTCCATTCTCTCACTTCCCTGGAGGGTCAGCACTACCCCCTGACTCCCCATTGCCAGAGAGAAGTCCAAGTTTAAGTTCCAGGCAGGAGGTTACCTGCGTGGCTGAGGCTACGGGATGGCCACCTGGTAGGTCTTCAGACCGTGGACCAAGAAGGCACTGCCTCCTCACTGCCAGCCCGCCCCGCCCAGCTAAGGCAGTCGGGCAGCCAGGATCTGCCTCCCCTCAGAGACCTTCCACCTCACCAGGCAGACGGCACTGTGACCCTGATGAGTGTGTGCGTAGATGTGTGTGGGGGGATGCTTGACCAACGCCCAAGTGGACAGCCAACAAGCAGCGGCGGTGGTGGTGGTCCCTTGACTTCTCAAGTGCGTGGACGCCCACTGCATGGTCAGGAGGACAGCTGTCCCTCGTAAGGCACCTCGGAGCAGGTGGCGAGAAAATGTTGGGGTGGGGGGGGGGACAAGACGAGACGGGATGGTTAGGGCAGCTCGGAAGGAAGCCCTGACCACGGTCTTCACCATCCGCTCTGGAGGGTACTGTACCAGGCACCCCCGAGGCTGCAGGAGGGTTTTCGGAGGGATGCAGGCTGTGGGGGCCAAGTGTGACTGGGCACGTGCAGTGCATGTATGTGTAAATGCGTGTGCGGGCCAGCCTCTAGGAGGCCGTGCCACCAAGCCGGGGGCCACGCAGCCCACTTAGACGCTGCTCCAGGACTACCCCGGAGAGCCAGGACGCAGAGGAAGCCATCGCACACTGTGGCCGGCTCAGGCCTCAACACCAAGGGATCCCGTGAGGCCTACAGCCTAGCTCTCACCCAGAGCAGAAATACCGGGAGCCCCGGAGCAAGAGGGAAGTAAGAGATGCAACGAGGTTCAAACTTGCAGCCCCGGAACGGTGAGGGCAATGGCCGTGGGCACAGGTTGCTCAAACCAAAGTAGAAAGGGAGGAGCTGGTGGTGTCCCGGGGCGGTCGCCCAGGAACACCGTTTCCCAGTGATACCCGGCCACCCTCCTCCCGTCCCCAGCTCCCCCCCACTAACACGGCTGAGAGCAGAAAGATGCGACCGTGACTCAGTTCCCCGCCTCTTGGCAGCAGATGCCCCCACAGACAAGAGTCAACCCTGCAGTTTGGATTCCGACTGCTCAGCGCTGTGGTGCCCACGGGCGAGAGAGCCCCCTAAGCTCCCTTGTCCCGCCCTGGACAGGCACTCCCTGCAGCAGGGGGACGCCTCCTCCCTGCGTGGTCCCCACACCAGTCAGAGCCACGAGGCCACGTGGACATGCCCCTGGGTGTGGTCTGAAGAGAAGCTTCCTGGGGGTTGTGGCTTCCTGGCACCTGTCTCACAGCCCACACCTTGCCGGTACCACTTCTGTTCCTGCGTGTCCACACTGCCTTGGGGTGGTGACACATGCCGCTATACCATGCTGTTCCCACAGGAGGGCCAGCACCTGGGCAGCCTGCCCCGCAGCCAGTCAGCCTCTCCCAGAGCCACAGAGGGGGCCGCTCCCCTCGCAGGGGGAAAGATACATCCCCCAGGCAGTGCCCTGTAGTGATAAGCACTCTCGGTCAGGTATTCTTCAGGCCCACAAGGAGGGGACAAACCATGCCCGAGGCATTGGGTGCTCTAGGGCTGGGGGTGAGACAGGAATGTCAGACTTGGAGGCTCTGAAGAGAGGCAGGAACACAGGAGTGGTCTGGGGGCAGAAGGGGTCTTGATTTCTTGGACACCAGCCCCCTTGGCCTCCCACCTGGTCACTCTGGCCGACTCCCTGAAACCTGTGCCCCTGGTCCATATCCAGCCCGGGATCATGTTGGAACCGGCTCCTTCCCGCTCGGCCAACCCTGGCCAGGTGCCAGGGTTGCGGTTTCAGCCAATCAGCCACTTTCTCCCCCTGCCCCGTGCCCCCGGGATCATCTACCTCCTCTGAGTGGACATGACCTAACGGTCTTCCAAATCGAACACTCCCGACTTTTCCCTTTACCAGTTCACATCCCACGAAAGGCAAAGAAACCCATGTCTTTGGAGGGATTAAAAAGAGTTTTTAAATACAATAGTATGAAAATATAACTTAAAAATATAAAAGTCAACAGCTTATGGAAGACTTAAAAATCTATGTTCTGCCCCTTCGTCCCAGAGGGCCGGGATGCGGACTCGAGAAAGCGTGAACACAGGGAGCACTCAGAAAACCGGGCCTCAGGAGTCAGCACAGAGGCCCGGGGGGCCGGAGAGCACTGCGGAGCGAGCGACATCCGACCCCAGCGTGTCTGGTCCTCGTGCTCCCTGAGCCCCGGCGGGTGCCTTCACCTGGACCCCCATCAGATACCGGGCGGGGCTCTGCCCTCCCCCGCCCCCCGCCAGGCCACGCAGAGCGGGACTGGACGACAAACAACGGCTCGCTTGCATATTTGGTCAGTATTCGTAGTGCAACGGGGCCCTCTGCAGCCACCGCCCCACGGTGCTGGCGAAGTCACGGCAGCTGGGAGTGGGCAGAGTCGGCGAGAGGCGCGGAGGTAGAAGAGGAGGGGCAGAGGGGAGGGCGCCGGGGCCCTCACACAGGCAGCCCGAAGCGGTGCTTCTTCTTCTTGGCGGGCTTCAGGGGCGTGAGTCTGCGGAGGTCCTCCTCCACGTCTGACTCCTCCATCTCGTCGTCGGCGGAGATCAGGATCTGCGGGGACGGCGAGAGGGGCCAGGCCCTGAGTCTCCTCCGCTCGGGGGCTTCTCACCTGCCCTGCCTGGGCCCCAGCACCAGCGCCCACCCACTCCTCCAGGAGGGCCCCCAGGTGCACCCCAGACCTCACAGGACCTCTTAGGAGGCTGAAACCAGCGCTGAGCTAGCGTGTCTGCCACCTTCAGGGCTGCTCTTCTCTGTGCTGTCCACCTGGGGCCACACGCGAGCAACCTCAGCAGGGACTACACCCTGATATTGCCCAGGTTTCTGTCCTCTCACAAAAATCCAATCTTTTTGAGGGGTGAGGCTTGGGGAACCAAAGGCCACTTTGGGGGGTACGTGGCCTTCCTCTGGGAGCCTGAAGGTTTGGCTCACGGGGCAGGCAGTGCTGAGGGGGCCACCAGGGCTATAGACCTGGCGGTGCTGGGCAGAGCACATGCAGTAGCTGGGACTGAACTTGGGGCAGCTGGAATGTGCACTCCAGCCTCTGAGTCAACACACACACGCGTAATCACACACACACACACACTCACACACAAACTCGACATCCCACATGCAAGCGCACACCCCCCCACACATGCACACACATACACACACACCACACACATCTCACTCCACACGCATACACACACCCCACACACATGCACACACAAACCCTACACCCCACATGCACACACACACACCACACACATGAACATACACAGACATGCACACAGCCCACATACATGCACACACACACAAACCCTACACCCCACATGCACATACACACACATCTCACACATGCACACATACACGCACACAGAGACATGTACACACCACACACCCCACATACATGCAGACATGCACACCACAGCCACACACACACACACACACACAAACCCTGCACCTCACACGCAACTCCCCCATATGCATGCACACATACACACACACCTCACACACATATGCACATACACACACAGACATGCACACCACACACACACACACACACACACACACACACACACACACCCCTCACCACCCCTATCTGGTCTAAGGAGTCCCAGGCCCTGGAAGCTGCAGAAGCAAAGACACGCCTCCCCCCAACTAGAAAAGACAAGGGCTGTCGGTCACACGGCTCTGGACCCTGAGTGGCCTCCTTGAACCCACTGTTGCAACTTCTGAAGACAAACAGCACCTGTGCTCTCTTGGGCCCCCAAAACGTGCTTGGGGCGGGGGTGGGGGGTGGGCGAATTGCCCCCGGAAAAGGCCAGCACAGCACACCCGATTCCTTCGCCAGGGTCACCATGCCCCTGCCCGCCCAGCTCAGCCCCATGTTAGTTTCCCAGTCCCCTCCGACCCTTGTGTGCTTCCCTGGGCACTCCAAGTCTCAGTCATCCACACCCAAACCCTGTGTCCATTGGGGGCTGAATGCGGCTTCTCGGGACACAGAGCCTGCCCAGCTCACGGTTCACAGCTTTAGCGTCAGCTCCTTTTAGGGACACCTGAAGGCCAACCTCTGAACTCGGGGACCTTGAAAAGGAGGAGACAAGGCTCCCCTGGGAAGTCCAGGGAAGTCCAACCTTCTAGAAGTTTCCAGCTGGCTTAGCCAAAACTTTGCTTCTTCTTTGGCAGGCCGCAGGGGTTTAAACACGTTAAAGCTTAAAGGTCAACTTGGGGCTCTGGGCCAGGCTCCCTGGAACAAGGTGGCTTCCCTCCCTTTCCTGCTTTCTGCCCTGCAGGCACCCGGCCAAGGGCAAGCCCCCCGGCAGACAGCCCACCTTCCTGCCCTTGCCAAGGTCGTGGGAACGGCAGGAAGGGGGCTGGCTGGGTACAGCCCTGGCCTCGTCTTCCTCCCTGGCAGCTGATAGAAGTGGGAGCCTCCCCCACCCCCGCCCCCCTCCAACAGGGCAGGCAGGGGGGCAGTCCCACCTCAGACTCCGACTCCTCGTGCGACGCCGCCCTCCGGTAGCGGACCCGGCTGCCGTTCCTCGAGTCCTGGCTAGCGCCTCTCTCTTCCAGCTTAGCTTTCGTCCTTCCCTTTCTCATGAGGAAATTGTCCACGACCCAGAACATGAAAGCCTGTGGAGGGGGGGAAAGCGCAGGTCACACAGTCATGGGGCGAGCCTTGGGGGACGGCAGCAAGGGCCCTGCCTCCCTGCACCCTCGACCTCCAACATCGACCGGACCCCCGGGGAAGGGAAGCCTCGCCCCAGCTCCCTCTCCTTCCTCCGCACCCATTTCCTATCACGGAATTAGCCAAGACCATGCCCACCCCTGACCGCTCCGCCCCCCCCCCCCCCCACCGGGGCCATATGACCAGAGAGTCTTTCCTGAGCCCACTGGAGGCAAAAGGGACCTGGGGCCAAGGGGTCTGCCTCCAGCCAGCCCAGGAACCTCCCCCAATCTCCCTCCAGGCGCCAGCCTCCAGCTGGAGTGAACTGCAGAGGGTGGGCCCTCTCCTGAGACACTGCAGCTGCAGGCTTGAGGCGGGGGGAGGTGGGGGGAATGGGAGACACAGGGGTGAGGTTGGGGGGGCTGCAGGAACATCAGCTAGAAGGGCCCAGAAGGGTAAGGGCCACTGACGTTGACAAAGAAGGGCACGATCAGCATGACGATGGCCAGCTTCAGGTCGGGGTTCTCGATGGGGTTCAGCAGGGCCACCTGGGAAGAGAGGCACACATGAGGTGGGGGCAGGCAGGCGGGGGGAGGGTGGTGGTGGGTGGTGCTGGGAATGCCCCATGCAGCCTCAGGGGGCAGTTAGTGCTCGAGCAGCTCCTTTCCCTTCCCTCTTCACATGGGGAGCACAGCACGCCTACCCCCGGGGGGTCGAGGGTGAAGTCTGGGAGCCGCACGGGGGAAGGTCAGGGGCTCCCAAGCACTCGCTAAGGAAACCTGTCCCCCATCTGCCTCTGCAAGGCCCCTCCTGGAGATGCACAGCCAGCCGGGTCACCCAACGCTGGGGTCCGAGGACGGGGCGGGGACTTTTCCAGTCTGGTGGTGCTCAGGGGACCCCTCCACCCCACCCAGCTCCAAAGACCAGATTCGGGTTCCGGCATGCAGGCAAAGTCTGCGCCCTGACCCCACGACTCTCCCCAGCCTGGTTTATTTTCTTAAGAAATAAATCTGAGCCATAAATAAAAGCGAAAGGGAGGAGAAAATTCAAGCCGCCTGTTCCTGAGGCTGGTTCCTCGGCAGCTTCCTGGCAGGCATGTGAGGGAGATGGGCAACGGGCAGAGCTGATCTGGACCACCCGGGGGCCAGAGGGCAAAGGAGAGGGCCAAGGAGCCGGGGGAACCACGTGGGGTCGGCCCACTGGCAGCTGCTGATGGAGGCGCCGAGCTGCCCTGTTATGTCGCGGTGGCCAGGAAAGAGGGGTGCTGAGTGCAAAGCTCCCGCCGCCGGGCCTCTGGGCTGAAGACTTGGGCCCACAGGAAGTGGCCCATGTTGACTGGTCATACCTTATTATTCCCAGGCTCGAGCCTGAGCCATCTCAGTGACGGGAGTGAATGCGTGCTCAGTGAAAAAGGGACAAGTTACCACTCTATGGGGAAGGGTGGGTTCTCCTGGTGCTCGGGGCATTGTGTGTGCTGAGGGAGGAACGAGGCTCTTGCACGCCAGGTACCTGCTCCGGCCTTTTGACCCCGCTCCACGGCCAGGGGGTCTTGAAAGGGAATTACAGGGGGCTAGAGCGATAGTGCAGTGGGTAGGCTGCATGCCTTGCAGACAGCTGGCCTGGGAACAACCCCCCAGCATCCCACATGGTCCTAGAGCACCAGCAGGAGCGACTCCTGAGTACCGAGCCAGGAGTAACTCCTGAGTGTCCCCAGGTGTGGCCCCCAAAATAAGAAACAAACAAACAAACAAAAAAAAAAACAGAAAAGAAAAAACTAGAGCTGCCAAATCAGACCAGAGTCGAGCATATCGCCAGAGTTGGAAAAAAAAACAAAACCATATCCAAAGACTTTCCAACAGGCTTGGGGCGGTTGGGAGGTGGAGGGAGATGGTCTGGGCTGGCTTTATAAGGAGCGCGAGGAGGGGGTGAGACAGCACACCTTCTTCCACTGAAGTATGAGCAGGACGATGAAGACGATGGACTTCTCGAACACCATGATGACGATGTAGAGCGCACACTGGCCCACCCAGGCTCCGCACTGCAGAGGGTCTCCTGCAGGGAGGGGCCGAGACACGCAGGCGACATCCTCAGCTCCCCCCACCTACCCCCACCCACCCCCGTCCTGGCTTCTTCAGGCTGACTTGGCATTAGAGCCCCCTCTCCCAAGAGCGGGAACCCACGGGCCCCGCAACGGTGGGTGTTGGAAACCACATCAGAGAACAGGAATTGGGAGCAGAGGCTCTTCTTTGAAGGCATTCTAAGGGAACCCACAGACAGCAGGCTGGGCTCGTGGGGCTGTGTGCACGCAGCCGCAGCCAGGATCTCTTGGTGAAGCAAGGCTGCTATTATTATCCAGTGTTGATGTTTCAGCCGCCTGGCCATCCATCCCGCCTCAGCCACCCGCGGGAGACTGGATGGTTTGGAAACAACAAAAGCCTCAAACAGCTTCTTTGTCTCCCGGTCCTGCCTCCCGCCCCTGCGGTCCACAGCTCAGCTCGCTCAGAAGAAAGGCATGAGCCCGGAGGGATCCTGACTGCAGGGGCGCACCCCAAACACCCTGTGCTGAGAAACAGGGGAGGAAAGAGAAAGGCCCCCGAGGCAAGGAGCAGGGGCTGGGACAAAGGCCCAGCAGTCACCCCACCTGAGAAGCGGAGAACTCGAGTCCCCACGGTGGGCTGCTGGGTCCAGGGGACTGGGAGCAGGTGGGGGACTGGCCCTTCCGGGGAGCCAGATACCCTCAGAGACAGGCCTCACTCCTGGGGTGGGCCCTGGGGGGCCACACACGCCTCCAAGTAGGAGATGCAGGGGAGGGGGGTCCAGGGAACTTGCTGGAAACTCTGCAGCTTCCGGCCACGGTAGGCCAGGGGGTGGGGAGGGAAATTCCTGAGGTAGCAAAGACCCCCTGCAGGCTAGGGGGTGAGAATCTGGCCTGAAAAGAAACTGCCGGTTTTTCCTTGGATCCTACAGTCTGGGTGGTGATCCAGGCCCCGGGCCCACCAGCTGTCCCTGGGGAGCCAGCCCCTCCGTGGCTGGCAGGGACACACTGAGGCATTGCCTTTTCTGGAAACCCTCTGGAGAAGCATGCAGAAAAACACTGCAGCCTCTGAGGACGCCCGGCCCCTTTCACTGTGTGCTCAGGGCGAAGCACGTGTTTGCCTCGGCAGAGTTCTAATGACGTTTTGTAATCCTGTCCTGTAAACTGTCTGACCTCATTGAGAAAAGTTCGCAAACACAAGGGATCAAAATAGTTTTTGGAAACCATTAAGTAAGACCACGGTGTGTGTGTGTATGGGGGGGCGGTGAAACAGAGTGTGGGGAGGGGGCGTAGTTAAGACGGACACACACCGGCAGGAAAACAACCTCTGGGTTGGGGCTGGAGTAGAGTCAGCAGAAGGCTGAGTGACAACCTGCTGGGTACTCTGGGTACTCGTTCCAAAGAAAACTCAGCGTGTGGCGTGGAGCAGGTAGAGACAGGCGTCACATCTACTGGCCTCCACGCACCCCACACAACCCAAACCAACTTGCCCTCAGTTTCCTGGGCCTGTTTGCACTGACGTTCCCAGCAGAGACCAGACCAGGCGGCTGGACCCATGGCCTGCCTCATGCTGCCCCTCCCCCTTCTGGTGGGAGTGGGTCCTGGGTCCTGCCAGCTGCTCTCCTAGGCAGACCCAGGAAGGGAAGCGTCTCAGGCCTTCACACTCCTCCCCTCCCATCTGCAAATTGAATACTTCCCAGGGTCACTCCAGGCTCCTCCCTTTTATAAGATGGGCACCTGCTGGGGCAGGGGTGGGGAGGGAAGGGAATGGGGTGGGTGTCCGGTTAAATTAACCCCTCGGGGGTAACCTGCAGGGGGTGGGGCCCAAAGGAGGGCACTGTGCAGGAGAGGCTGCCAGAAGGGAAGGTCAGGGACTTGGACCAGGACGGGTGGCCTGAGGTTTTCCCTGGGGAGGGGCAGCAGGGCTACCAGACAGCAGACACCAGGCCTCGCCCAGAGCTGCTGTGCCCTGGAGGGGGAGCAGCGTTGGGGGCGCACAGACTTGCCCATGTCTTAGTCCTGGAAAGGCGCAGAGCCTCGGACTCCGAGATGAGGAGCGTGTCCCAGGGGAGCCAGTGGGCCCAGTGTGACCTCAGGGGCACTCACTGCCCCTAGGCGGATGGCAGGGCCCAGTGTGAGGGCACCACCACTTGCAGCTGCTGGGCACGAGCCAGGAATGCAGGTGGGACCATGGGGCTCGTGGTGGACGGGGCGGTAGACCCCCGGAGTGCAACGAGGGGGAGAGTGTGAAGGGGTCTTTCTACTCTTTTACTGAGAGAGGGAAGATCTGGGGGGAGGAGGGGTGCTGAGTGGTGGGGTTGGTTCGGTTCGGTTCCTGAAATGAGGGCAGGAGGCCAAGTGAGTCTGGGAACCTCTGCTCGAGAAATTCAAGAAGGCACACACACACAAAATGGATCATCTCTTGGAGGTGCCATAAGGAAGCAGGAAGTCCTGGTTCCAGCCCACGGGGCTCAGGTCGGACTTCCGAACCGGGAAGATAATATGTGTGTTGTTTTAAGTCAGGGAGTTTTGTGGTGACATGTGAAGCAGCAACAGAGAACAACAGAACCGGATGTGGAAAATGGGCCACCTGGGACAGAGGAGGGTGGAGGCACCCAGGAGGGTCCCTGGAAGAGAGCGGTGCCCTCTGGCCCCCTGGGGGCTGTCATAAGACACTTGTGTCTGATGGCAGAGAGGAGACCTGAGGGTGGATGTGGCAAGGCCTGGGGGCAGGGGCCAGCGTGGTGTCCGGAGGAGCTGACCTCACCTGCTTTGCCAGCCCGCTGCATGGCACTGAAGGGCAGGCAACTGGCAGTGGGTGGACCCTGCCCTGCCCAGCACCAGGCAGATATGGCTGAGTCAGGAGTCTTCTAGAAGGGATCTGACCAGCCAAGAAGTGCTTGTGAGCATATTCTGGGAGAAGCAGGGGCCAGCTGGTGTCTGCAGCAGGCTTAGCCCCCTCCCTCCACCCCGCTGGCCCCCCCATGCATCAGTGGGGTCGCTCCCTGTGCCCCATCCCTCCAGGGGGCTGCCACCACCCGCCTGGGTGACATGCGGCTTCCCGGGAGTCACCGGCGCTCACATCGGGCATCGGACACTATCTTAGGTCGGTGACTCACCGGGCTTCCACCAGCAGGACTAAGAAAAGCCCTTCCCTGAGCTCATCGCCCCTCCGCGGAGACAAACAATTACTTAAGATTTCTAGAAATACCCGGGGTGCTCATAGCTGGCCTTTCACACGGGCTCCCCTCACAAGAGTCAATGCCCCTGGGGGCTGTGGGCCAGACTTGGGGGTTCGCTGGGGCGGCCGGCAAGGAGAGGAGCTCCAGGGTTCTGCTGGCTTCTCTGCCCCCCGGTAGTGAGAAGCTGTTACCCTCTTATCCTGAGCCCCCAGAGGGCAGCAAGACCCCAAGAGGCGCCTCTTAGCAGGAGGCCTGGGAGGCCACATCCACTGGGAGCAGCCGGGCAGAGGCATCTCACTTGGGGTCTGACCAGACAGCACCCGCAGGTCCCCTGCTCCGTGCACAACCCCCAATACCACACAGAAATGCAGCAGACCCAGAGCTGCCCCCCAGGTTCCCCACAGGGCGGAGAGTGGGAGGGGCCTCAGCAGGCAGTTTGGCAGAGGCGTGAAGTGGCCCCCTGGCCCTGGCAGGGGAGGCAATGTCAGGCCAGCCTCTGTGTCCAAGCATCTCAGCAGGGACAGTGGGGGTGGGGTTCCCAGGTCCCAGGGCCTCGGAAGTGCGGGACGCTCATGCCTGCAGGAGCACAGGCTAGGGAACACAGCCCAAGCACAACGCCCCCTACTCCCACCCCAGGAAGCCCCTTGGCTCCCCGCCTCTGGGCCGTGGGTGTTACCGTATTCTCCGAAGCGCAGGGACTCCCACTGCTGCCACTCCACCAGGACGCTGACAGCGCGTACCCCCACGTAGATGAGCAGCATGCCCACTGTGGCGTCCAGGAGGAAGTTGATGAGGTACCTGCACGGGGAGACAGGGGCAGCCCCGTCATGAGGGGGTGTCAGAGGGCCTGGAGGTGCCCAGTGGCACTCAGCTCAGGGTGCCCAGGAATGCGCCCCCGGGACAGCGAGATGACACCGACTGCAGCTGGGAGCTGCGGAGGGACCCTGAAAGAACCCAGCTATCCCTGCTAGCGGCGACGCTATCTGAGAGCAGCCAAGAGAAGTGGGTGAGCAGAAATTAAAAAGCGATTTGCTCCAGCTGGAGAGGGAGTACCGCTAGGCGCTTGCCCTGCATGTGATCACCTGGGCCTGACTCCCAGCCCCCAGATGGTCTCCAAGCACCCCTAATCACCAACCCTCCCAACTCTGATTTCACTGTCACTGTCCTCCCGTTGTTCATCGATTTGCTCGAGTGGGCCCAGTAACATTGTGAGACCTTGCTACTGTGTTTGGCATATCGAATAAGTCACGGGTAGCTTGCCAGGCTTTGCCATGCGGGTGAGAAACTCTCGGTTGCTTGCCGGCCTCACCGAGAGGGGCGGAGGAATTGAACTCGGGTCGGCCATGTTGGCTGCATGCAAGGCAAACGCCCTACCCACTGTGCTATCGCTCCAGCCCCAAATTTGATTTATTTCATTTATTTATTTTGCTTTATTGGGTCACCCCCAGCGATGCTCAGGGGTCACTCCTGGCTCATGCACTCAGGAATTACTCCTGGCAGTGCTTGGGGGACCATATGGGATGCTGGGAATCGAACCCAGGTCGGCCGCAGGGGAAGCATGCAAACACCCTACCCTCTGTACTATCACTCCAGTGTGTGTGTGTGTGTGTGTGTGTGTGTGTGTGCGCACGCGCGCAATGCAAACACCCTACCCTCTGTACTATCACTCCAGCCCCACCCTCCCAAATCTGTTCAGACACAGAGAGAGGCTCAAGGGGCTGGAGCACATGTTTTGACTGTAAGAGGCTGGGCGCCATCCTTGGCACTATATGGCCCTGGAGCAACCGAGTACCTGGGTGTGGTCCCTGCATGTGGCTGGCCTGGGTTGGATCCCTGGCACCCCATATGGTTCCCCGAGCCTGCCAAGGAGTGATCCCTGAGCACAGAGTCAGGTGTAAGTCCTGAGCATTGCCAGGAGTGTCCCCCCCAAAACAAAAAACAAACAAAACCTCTGGTCCATGGTTCTGCTCTTCCCTGTAGTGCTGTGGCACCAGCGCTGTCCAGGAATCAGGCTCTGACATTTCCTAGACCCCAGAGGCAGGGGCCAGCAAACCCTTCCACAGAGACTACTGACTGGACGTGGGGAGCGCTTCTCCTGGGAAAAAGGGAAGCGTGTGTGTGTGTGTGTGTATGTGTTAGTGTGTGTTAGGGGTTGGGAAGGGCTGATGACGGGGAAGCGTGTGTGTGTGTGTGTGTGCTGTGCTAGAAGGAGTCCTCACTGTCCACCCACTGTTTCCTCTTAGGGACAAGCACCTCATCCTCTTAGGGACAAGCACCTCATTCATTCATGGGCCTCCCCTGGGCCCCATACAGAGATCCAGCTGGGTTCCTGCAACAACAGGCCCCAGCGCCCCAGGTCAGGCAGGAGATAAGCTGACTTCAGGCTGTCACTAACTCACCTGGGACCTCACATGGCCCGGGGCACCCCTAACCCCAGAGCTGTGCAGATTCCTGGGGGCTGCCCAGAAGCAGCCAGAAAACCTGCGGGAATCTCTCCTGCCTGCCCTTCCTCCTGCAGATCACCAGGGGTCACTCTCAGTCCAGCGCTGGAGGGAATAGCAGGGCTCTTGCTCACCGCTGAGCCCAGGCCCCAGGCGAGGCTGCATCATGGTCACTCACGGGCACGGGCAGACAGACAGACAAACAGACAAAACACACACACACGCACAACGCACGCACACACACACTTGAGCACATTCATTCACACACACACTCACATACACATGCACACACACACACGCATACACAGAGAAACACAGACAGACACAAAGATACACACAAACCTGAGCACACTCACACACGCACGCACAAAGCACGCACACACACACTCTCATATACACACAATCACATAAACACACATGCATATACACGCACATACACACCTGAGCACATTCACTCTCTCTCTCTCTCTCTCTCTCTCTCTCTCTCTCTCACACACACACACACACACACACACACACACACAGAGTGTCTCGGCTGGACTCACCCATTCACCAAACCCGGTTGCCTAGTATGTGCCACACCAGGGGTAATGCCAGAGAGTTCTGAGCTCTGTCCCAGCTGCGGGCAGTGGACAGAGGCGCCTCTGGAGGCCCCGGGGACCACAGATAGCCAAATCCCAGCTCATCACTCCTGCACTGTGTGGACCTCCCTCAGTTTGAGAGACCATGGGTCTCAGGAGCCCACCATAAAAGGGTAGAGTGTCTACACGGCAGGGGTGTTAGGGCGAATCCAGACTGCTGGCACTGATCGGCTTCTTCCTTCCAATATGCAGAAGGCGCATGAAATGTGTGTCATGAGAATCGCAGCCCCTCAGGGGCACAGAGGCCTGGACATCACCACCGTCTGCCTGGAAGCAGCACGGCCTGCAGGAGTCTTGGCCAGGCACAGGAAGTGGCCCCTTTCCCAGCCAGCCTGGTGACTCCCAGGATGCCTGGGCCTGGCCAGCTCCTCTCCTTCTGCCAACAAGGCTTCTCCTATGCCCCAGGCTTCCCCTGTTCCCCGCATGGCAGCCTGCTTGAGCGCCAGCATCGACCCTTCAGCGACCGGTGCCCTGTGCTTCCCAGGCAGCCCCCACCCTCCTCTCATGGAGCTTCAGTGTCCCGGACACCTGCTGAACATGTGGGGTGGAGATAGGCCAAAGGAGTCTGGGCTCCTGCCCACAGCACAGCCCCCAGTCGGGGGCCTTTGTAACACACACACACACACACACACACACACACACACACACAGACACACACACACACACAAGCATGCACGCACACACACACATGCCATCTGGGGCAGCCCCGTAGGCTGACACTCGAGGTCTGTCAACAGCCGCCTCTGTCCCTGCTGGGAGTCCGTCTGTCCACCCCCCCACCGCCCCTCATCCCCAGCCCCCTTCTATTTCTTTGTCTGTTTCTGTTTGGGGGCCATTCCTGGCTCTGTGCTCGGGGGATCCCCGGGTGATGGCCACAGCTGCCTACTGGGCAAGCACCTTTAACCTCGTACTAGCTCCCAGCCAGCCAGTGTCCCCCCGAGGGTGTGTCTCTCCTCCTGCAGAGGGGCAGTGGCAGCCATGGCAGCCCCCTCCCCGTCTGCTGCAATGATGTGCTGAGGTGTCAGAGTGCGGAGGGTGGGCTGTCTCCCAACCCTCTCCCCGGGGGGAGACCCCCCTTCCCGTCCCTCGCTTTGGGGCCACACCTGAACACCTCAGGAAGCCGTGCCACCTGCCAGGTGTTGAGGAGGGTGCCCGGGGAGGGAGACCTCATACCCTCATCCAGAAAAAGCTCAAAGGCACACAGCGCTGCTCCCACCCACCCCAGAGGGAAGGCTTGGAGGAGTCCTCGGCCCCACTGGCCTGGGTGAACCCCAGAAGCCCCCCATCCTCCTCTGAGCTCCTTCCAGCCAGGCGACACATGGGCAAAGGTGGCACGAGAGCCCCAGACAAGGCAGGAAGGTAGGCAATGGTGGCGGGGGTGGGGGAGGGGTCCTCCTTCCCGTGCCTGCCCTCTGATGGGAGGCAGTGACCCCTCAGAGGGGCAGGGACAAGCTGGCGGGCAGCAGTGCCAGGTGGAGGGCCTGAGGCACTGACAAGGTGGCACCGTCCACAGCTCTGACCCTGAGTGGAGAGCTATGGGGGGTGGGGGGCAGGGCACCCCCCCCCAGCAGACACCCTGGAGCCCATCCCTTTCCACCCTGAGAAAGCCATGGCACACAACGAGATAGAGGAGCAGAGCCAGGCAAGAGCAAGGCTAAGGCACAGCCTCAGAGTCCGGTGACAGCCATGGCAGGTGCCTGGAGGACAGTGACAGAGGCCAGAGGCTGCGTGCTCGGAGCAGGGGGTGGGGGGAAGGGCGACCGCTTTCCGCCAAGGGCCACTTACAGTGAGCAAGGGTCCTCTTCTGTGAGATCCGCCAGGTACACGTTTGCGAAGTGAATGAAGAGCATCCCTATGGCTTGCTTGGAGGTGTCTAAGAACCTGGCCCGGAAGAAGAGCAGGCGTTACCATGGCGACAGGAGGCGAGAGGGAGTCACACAGGTGGGGGAAGCTGCCCAGGACCCGGCCCCCAGGCTGCTCTTACTCCTTGGGGGACCTGGAGCTCCTGCCAGCTCTTCAAACACTTCAAACCCAAGGCCTGAGACCCCCAAAGATCACTGGCACATTTTCAACAGAGTTGGCTTTTCTTTTTTTTTTTTTTTGGCTTTTTTGGGTCACACCCAGCGAAGCTCAGGGGTTACTCGGCAGGACCAGCCAGATGTAGCCCCCCAGAAAGATGCTTCTTGGTGATACCATGTTGTCCCTCTAGGCTGGCTGTCTCCTTCTAAGTGACTTTTTTTTTCTTTTGGTTTTTGGGTCACACCAGGTGATGCTCAGGGATTACTCCTGGCTCTGCACTCAGGAATTACTCCTGGCGGTGCGCGGAGGACCATCTGGGATGCTGGGAATCGAACCCAGGTCACCCATGTGCAAGACAAACACTCTACCTGCTGTAGTATATCTTGGGCCCCTATGTTTTTTGTCTTTCTCTCTCTACTTTTGTCTCTGGAAACTACTTCTTTTTATTTTTAAAAAGTTTATTATCAGGGCTGGAGTGATAGCACAGCGAGTAGGGCATTTGCCTTGCACACGGCCGACCTGGGTTCGATTCCCAGCATCCCATATGGTTCCCCGAGCACCGCCAGGAGTAATTCCTGAGTGCAATGAGCCAGGAGTAACCCCTGTGCATCACTGGGTGTGACCCAAAAAAAGCCAAAAAAAAAAAAGTTTATTATCACGGTCACGGTCACGGCCCTCCCGTTGTTCATCAATTTGCTCGAGCGGGTCCAGTAACATTGTGAGACTTGTTACTGTGTTTGGCATATCGAATACGTCACGGGTACCTTGCCAGGCTTTGCGGTGCGGGTGAGATACTCTTGGTAGCTTGACGGGCTCTCCAAGAGGGGCGGAGGAATTGAACTTCGGTCGGCCATGTTGGCTGCGTGCAAGGCAAACGCCCTGCCGCTGTGCTATCGCTCCAGCCCAAAAGTTTATTATAAGACCATGATTTACCAAGTTGTTCATAACACTGCTGTTTCAGGCATTAAATGTTCCAACACCAATCCCACCACCAGGGCACCCTTCCCCCCACCAGGGTCCCCAGTTTCCCACCCACCACCCCAGCTTGCCCTCTTGCAGACACAAACAAATTTACTTCATATTGTTTGTTACCACACAAAAACAATGGAAGTATCAAGTCTTAGACCAGTAAGAATGTATCTGGGGGCTGGAGGATAGCACATCAGCCAGGAGTGATTCCTGAGTGCAAAGCCAGGAGTAACCCCTGAGCATTGCTGGGTGTGACCCAAAAAGAAGAAAAACAAACAAACAAACAAGTGTATCTGTAATCATTGTTATATCTCACAAGGATGTTACTGAAGTCGCTGTCTGGGGACCTGCTGTGCTGGTTGGTGAGAGTCAAGCCTTCTTAGGTTACTGTTCAGGTTACTGAGCTTGGTGGGCTCTATGCAACTTAGAAGCGACTTCTGAGGAAGGAATAACAGCCACTTGATCACCTGGGGTCCAGAAAGCCATTTCAAAACAAGTGTTCACTTGGTCTCCCCAGATTCCAAGCCCAGCAATTTTTGGGGGGTGGGGGGACCCATACCCAGTGATGCTCAGGGCTTGGTCCTGGCTCTGTATACAGGGATCACTCCTGGAGGGGCTTGGGGGGCACTATATGGGATCCCACGGACTGAACCCAAGTCAGCTGTGTGCAAAGCAAATGTCTATCCGCTGTACTATTGCTCCAGTCCTCAGCTTTTCTTTCTTTAATATATATATATATATATATATATATATTTTTTTTTTTTTGGCCTTTGCCCTGGATTCTGGAATTTAAGACAATCCAACGGGGAGACAAAACCAAAGTGACGTGCAGAAGAGACGCAGGCTGATGACCTGTCTGCTCAAGCCATGCCACGCTGAAGATACGGTGGGGGGAAAAGACACAGTTACTGGAGAAACATAAGCACATGCAGTGACCACTAACTACTTACCAAATTCTCCATGGCCGTCTTTCGTGTTTTGGTTCTCGGAAGCGTTTGACTGAAAGGGAAAATAAAAGCTATTCAGTAGCTTGCCAGGGTGAAAAGGAAGCGAAAAAAAAAAAAAGCACATTAAAGGCTGGGCTGCTGGGGCACTCTGCATCTGCCTACCAAGGCACGTGCTCTCATTGGTAGGTGACAAGGTGACAATGTCCAATAGACACTGAGGGGCCAGGACAGCACCCCTGGGAAGGATCTTTCACAGGAAAATGGCATTTTCTTCTCTGGGACTCAGCTGACCTGGATGGGAGCTGGAGGTCACAGGGGATCATGTCTCACTTCGGGACGGGCTCGGCCCACCACCCGTCCACCCACATGCCCCAGTGAGGAGCCGAGGAGCAGGAGGGCAGACAGCGCAGTGGTCAGAGCAGGAAGAGGTGGAAAGGGTGTGCAGCTGAGCCTACGGGGAGGCAGCTGCTGGTCAGCAGAGGCACCTCAGGGAGGGGGTGGCTAGGGTACACCTGCAGGACAAGCAGGGCACAGACGTGCAGCATGACCCAACTGGCCTTCATGAGGGGGTTGCGGGGGGACAGAGCAGGGAGCAGGGCACCCGCGGGAGACGCCTGGAATGAATCCCAAGGAGGACCAGAAACAAGGGAAGGGGGCGAGGCAGAGCCCAAGGACTTCACTGGGACTGCAGGTGAGGGTGGGCATCGGGGGAGAGGTGGGGAGGCCTGGGCACAGTGCCAGGTTCTGTGCTTCCGGGTACAGAGGTCAGAGGGGCTGTGGGGGGGGGGGGCTCTTTCTGCAAGAGCCTGATCAACCTGGCGGATAAAGAGTCCCCCAATCCGTGCCTTTATCCCGAATCACGCCTTTACTGCAGGTTTGCAGACACAACTGTGTGTGCAAAAAAGGAAACCGAGTTTCCAAGAGTCCCCTCCACCGCTGAGCTGGGGTAGAGGGTTCCTACAAGCCTCTGGCAGTCAACTGGGGACAGCAATGTGGCAGGCAGGACCGGGGACAGGCCCAGGGGAGGCCTCGCTCCCCTGTGAAGCGGCAGGAATGCCGTGGCTGCCGGGGGCACAGGCTGCAGGAAGGGGCAACTGGTGCTCAAACACCTCCTCTCTCCTCTGGGGGACACAGCGCTGCTGGTGCCCGCGCGAGGTTGTCCTGCAGGAAGCCTGGGGGAGCCCGAGAGACAGTGTGCAGTAGCGAGTGCATTTGCCTTGCACACGTCCGGCCCAAGTTCTATGCCCAGCGACCCATAGCCCCGCCAGGAGTGATGCCAGAGCACAGAGCCAGGAGCATGACCAGATGTGGCCTCAAAAACACTAAAGATCCTCCCACGTAGACTATAGACCAAGTATGATTGCCACTCAATGCCTCTTTTGCAAACCACAGCATCCAAAAGGAGAGAGAGAACAAAAGGGAATTCCTGCCATAGAGGCAGGGTTGGGATGGGGGGTCTAGGGGGTTGGAGGGATACTGGGACCCGTGGTGGTGGTGAATGGGCACTGGTGGAGGGATGGGTATTCGATCGTTGTATAACTGAACCCCAAGCACAAAAATTTACATGTCTACAACTGTACCTCATGGTGTTTCACTAATAAAAATTAAAAACCAAAAAAACCACCAAAGAACCAACAACCCTAAGAAGGAAAGCTGGGGTGCAGAAAGCAGCGACAGGAGGACGTGTAGCATGGCTGTCCCTCCTGACACACCACAGGAGCCAAAGCAGCAGGCCTGCGGCGGGCGGGGCAGGGCAGAGGCTTCCTCTGGGGGTGTGGGGCTGCGGTGCTCCATGTGAGTGCCCGGACAGCGGCCAAGTGTGGGACACCCGTGTGCACCCGACAGCAGCCCCACCTCAAGAGGCAGGCAGCTTCCTGTGATGTCATGAGAGGGGAACACAGCGGGTGAAATGGACGGTCAGAACTCCAGAGGCCAGGAGGAAAATCTTCAGCAACTGAATCACTGAGAGCTCCACTGCTTTGAAACGAAACCAGAAGCCGGAGAGAGCTTGAGAAATGAGGGGGAGCGAGGGTTGTCTGGACCTGGCCGACGGCTGGAGGCAGCACCAGCACCACCCCCTCACCTGAGGATTCCCCCCCTCAGTGACACGGTGCCCCAAGTGTCCCCGCCCCTGGGAACGCCTGTACAGAAAGGCACTGCGGAACGAAGCGAGCATGGGGCCGGGAAATTCCCGGAGGCATTCCGTGCATAAGAAGTGTGGTGGGTTTCCATTCCTTTTTCTCCTCTGAGGGTCTTGGTCACACCGGACGTGCTCAGGGCTGGCTCCTGTGCTCAGGGATCACTCCTGGAGGGGGCTCGGAAACCAGATGGGGTGCCAGGGACTGAACTGGGTCCACTCTGTGCAAAGCCAGTAAGCACCAAAATCCTTATGCTATCTCTCCATGTCATCAGGTTTGTATTCTTATATTTACAGTGTCCTGTGTGTGTGCGTGCGTGTGTGTGTGTGTGTGTGTGTGTATGTGTGTGTGTTGGGGGGGGGGATATGGCTGGAATGGCAAGTGTGAGCCTCAGACCTGCCCATGTGCTTCAACGTAACCCTCAGCTGTGTCTGGGACACTTCCCCCAACACACACACACACACACACACACACACACACACACACACACGCACGCACACTCCCGGAGTTGACGGAGTGAGTGATCTCCCGCACACCACAAGCAGGGCTGTGCGGAGCTGCCGTGGAAGCGGGCACCATGACCGGAGCTAGCTGCTGGAGCACCGTGGCCGGAAGGGCTGCCCACGGGAGCAGCAGCTGCGCATGCCTCACCACAAGTGGGACCCCCAGTGAACAAAGAAATCAAGTGTGACAAATACACCATGTCGTGCTGGAGCGATAGGACCGTGGGTAGGGCACTGGCCTTGCATGCGGTCAACCCGGCTTCAGCCCCCGCACCCCATATGGTCCCCCAAGCACTGGCAGGAGTGATCCCTGAGTGGAGAGTTAAGCGTGAGCCCTGAGCACCGCTGGGTGTGGCCCAAACCAAACAAACAAAACTGAAACAGTACCACAGTGTCACCTGGAAGCGGAGGCCATCCAAGACCATGCGGTGGCCACTTCCAGAAGCAGGCACAGTGGAAAGGGGCTGGGGACGGGGAGGGTCCCTACACAAGCTGCGGGCCAGGTGACACAGGGGCTTCCCAGCACATGAAACCAGAGACCTTGGAATAGGTTCAGGGAGGGGCCTCGTGGGATTGGCTCAGTTTCCTGTCACTCAGGATGGTGGCGGTGCCTAAAATCTGAATGCTGGTAACTCCTTCCCAACTCCTTCCCTCTACTGAGGGCTTCAGTGTGGGCCACCCCACACTCCTGGAGCCCCCCATCCCATCTTCACTGACAAAACAGGACAGTCAGCAGGGCAAGTGTGAGCAGCTACCCATCCTCGGGCAGCGCAGATCTGACGGCCAGAGGGTGAACTGGCAGCTGGCACAGGGGGCTGTGAGGTGCAACCCTCTCAAAGCGAAGGCCAGGGGAAATGACCACGCTCTGGCCAGGGCCTCCGGAGACTTGGCACTGAAGCTGGGACAAAGCCAAGTCACAAGACCAGGGAGATGACACAGAGGGCCAGGCTGGGCGGGCTCAAGGCTGTGGGCTCCGTCTCCAGCACTGCCTGCCCCCTGCTCCCCCACCCCACCCCACCCCCCAGCCTCAGAGGGTCAAGCCCACAGACTGGGGTTTCCAGGGCAGTTACAACACCCACCCGCTGGGGAGCACCCAGCCCAGGAGCCCAGAGCTGATAAAGAACAGACAATGCCCTGGGGCAGTGGGCAACAGCACCCTCACAGGTGAAGCCGCGAATCAAGGTAACACCCAAGTGTGGCTGTACTTTCCCTAGATTAGACATAACGGACCCCCAACTGCCAAGGTCCCGGCCAAACCTCCTTAGCGCCCCCTGGTGGGGAGAAAACACAGCGCCCATGTTGTCATTTCCCTCCCTCCCCACCCCCAGCTTCTTTGGGGTAAGGAAAAGGGAAGAAGTCCCGCCCATGGTGTCCTTGAGGCCTACTGGAGGTCACCTCTCCACCAACCCATGCTTCTCTTTCTCCCCCCAGGGGTAATTCTTCTACTGGGCAGCTACAGACCACAGGCCACCTCAGGGACATCTCAGGCTTGGTCCCGAACACCACAATAAAGCAGATGCTAAAATAAAGTGAGTCACACACCAGTGCGTATAAAAGCTAAGCTTACTCTTACGCTGTTCTGTTCCCTATTGCACGTGCCTCAGTAGGGCGTTTTCAGAAACCTTAATTAACAATGAATTAACAGTTAAATAAACCTTAATTAACAATGAATTAACAGTTAAATAAACCTTAATTAACAATTCATCACTCGTAGGCTGGAGAGAGAGTACAGGGGTTCAGGTCCTTGCCTTGCATGCAGCCGACCCTAGTCTGATCCCCAGCACTGCAGACGGTCCCCAAAGCACCACCAGGAGTGACCCCTGAGCACAGAGGCAGGGCTGCAAAGGACTGCAGAGCCCCCGAGCACTGACCAGGTGGGGCCCAAACCCTTCTTCCCTCGCCCCAAATTCCACCTTACTCCTAACACATTTGTCTGATAGCTGGGTATTCCACTGTGCGTATAAATTACAACTTTCTCATCTAAGTAGCTGCAGGTTGGGTTTTCCCCCTATCCGGGCGATTGGACTTAGCAGCACGTGAGCTGTATGGTTCTGTTCCAGCATGTGCTTTTGTGACCCTGGAGTCAGATGCCCAGGAGAGGAATCGCTAGACCAAGTTGGAGTTCTATGTAAACATTTTTGAGGTGTCTCCACACTACGTTCCAAAGAGGCTGAGCCAGTCATTATGAAGTGCCACCAATGGAGCATGAATGAAGGCTCCTTGAGCTCCTGCCTGCACCGAACATTTCTGAGGGGACCATTCTTATTGGGGTTATGTGGTGTCTCAGTGGAGTTCTGATTTACGTTTCCCTGATTGTTAGTGACAACTAAGACTTTTCCATATGGGGGGGGGGGGGCGGCTGGAGCAATAGTACAGCAGGTAGCGTGTTTGCTTTGCACATGGCCGACCCG